TGGATCCACAGAATGTCTGGCAGCAGGGGCTGGACATGCAGCTCACTGGGGTGTAGATGAGGGTCTGGGTAGGGACCAGGGCACAGCAGCTGGGGGTGCAGCAGGAGGGCTGGCAGCAGCTGGGGACACAGCAGGAGGGCTGGCAGCAGGAGGGCTCACAGCAGCTCTCTTGACAGTCATCCGCCTGCCAGGAGGAGTCGGCGCAGGAGTCACTGGAACCAGGCAGGCAGGTGCGGTTGCCATAGCTCAGGTTGCTGGAGCAGACAGACAGGGCAGAGGCGGCCATGGTGGGCGGTGGAGTTGGAGGAGGGTTTGAGTGTGTGAGTGAGTGTGTGAGTGTGAGTGTGTAAGGTGCCCGGGGCTGTTGGCTTTTATACCCTCTCTGGCTGTGTTTCCCCCCAGGATGGTCACACAGCTTCTTCCTTGTTTGTGTTTGAGACTCTCATTAGTGCCAGGTTTGTGTTTTTGTTCTGTGAGTTGCTGCTCGCTGATAAAGCTGCTAGGGTGTTGTGTGCTCTGTGGATGCACCCTAAGCTGCCTTTAGTTCATAACATTGAGGTGGGATGGATGTGTCTGCAAATAGTATGTCCCAGGGTCTGAGTCAGCCTCATGAGAGAACCACCTCTCCTAGTCCAGCTGCCCCTTGTGGACTCCTGGGGTGTCCCGCACACACTAGGGGATTCTGATCATTTGGGGGCCACGGCTTCCCAAGCGCCTGCTGGAGGGCCTGGGCCAGAGAGGGCAGGGGCTGGAGCATTTCTAACTGTGGCTCCCAGCACGCCCTCCAGGTCAGGGACACCCCGGGGCCAGGTGCCAAGCAGGTCAAGTTGGATGGTCTGGTAGTGGCGCCTCCATGTCTCTGGGTGGGCGGTGCACAGCCCTGTCACACATCTGACCGCTCCGTAAGGCCCAGACCCCGCCCGCAGCCTTCCCAGGCCATCTGCATGTGCCCGGCACCAGGAGCCGTGCGTGTGAGCCTGAGGTCCCTGTCCGCTGTCCACCTCCCTGCAGAGAGCACAGCCACCACGGCAAGGCCTCTGTTTGGAAAACAAGGACTCCTTTTGCTTCCTGTTTATTTTCTTGCTTATTTTTTGTTTTGTTTTTTTAAATCTATTTTATTTATTTTTTATAGAGATGACAATATAGGGATAGAGAGCTAGAAACATTGATGAGAGAGAAATATCGACCAGCTGCCTCTTGCACATCCCCTGCCTGGGATGTGCCTGCAACCAATGTACATGCCCTTGACCTCAATCGAACTTGGGACCTTTCAGTCCGCAGACCGATGCTCTACCACTGAACCAAACTGCTTTCGGCTGTTTTCTTGTTTTTTAATCCTACATAATAAAACCCCAATATGCAAATTGACCAAATGACAGAACGACCAGTTGCTATGATGCTCACTGACCACCAGGGGGCATGCGCTCAATGCAGAAGCTGCCCCCTGGTGGTCAGTGCACTCCCACAGGGGGAGTGCTACTCAGCCTGAAGCTATGCTCATAGCTGGCGAGTGCAGTGGCAGTGGAGGGAGCCTTTCCCGCTTCCATGGAAGCGTTAAGGAGCAGAGAACAGAGCAGTAAGGAGCAGTGAGCGGTGGGTGGTAAGGAGTGAGGGACCAGGGTCAGGCAGGGCCCATCCCTGACCTGAAGAGGGCGATGGCTTTGAGCCAGGAAGTGTGATGTGGCACAGCCAGGGTACCCAGGGTTGTGGCCAGGAGAGGAGTTTTGTGAGCTTCCAGCCCCTGCCCCCCTCCTCTCAGGGCTGGGCTAGAGGAAGTGGGACTGAGCCGCACCCAGCTGGGGTGAGCCACGGAAGCCGGAGGTCACGGGCTTCCGGGGCTTCTAGGTGCTGGAGAGGGAGACTCCCTGGAGCTGGCTGGCCCTGGAGGACATGTTTGCTCAGCAGCAGGACACCTGGGCCAAGGTGGGGACGCACACCCTGTTTCGGTACTTTTCACACACAAAAAATGCCTATAATAAACACATGTTGCTGCATGAATCAGTAGTACTTTATTTTATTTTTTCCCTGTGAGGTAAACCATCGCATTTCAAACCCTGCTTTATTGTTATTTATCCATTCCCTTTAACAATGATGGAAATTTCCATTATTTCCATATTTATGGAAATAAATTAATAATGCTGTTATGAAAAGTCTTGTACATTTTTGTTTCGGTGAGCATAGTTAGTAATTCCAGGGTACAGACACCAATAGAATTATTGGGTCATGCGACAGGCATGAGTTTAGTTAATACACACTGCCCAACGTTTTTCTAAAGAAATGTTCCTTCCCATTAGTCAATTTTATGAATTCTAATGACTGTATATCCTGTATAAAATGGGGTATTGTCGATCCTTTCATATCTTACTCATTTTGGAAAGTGTGTGAGGGACTGGGGTTGCATTAATTTGCGTTCTTTGATGAGTAAAGTGCTCACTGAACATTTGAATATCTTTTCTTATGGGTGCTTGTTCAAGCCATTTGCTTGTTTTAGTTCAATAGGGTTATTGTACTTTTGATTTGTAGAAAAGTATTACATATTCTGAATACGCATTCTTTGTTGTCTATGTGCAGGGTCTGCTGTAAATATTCAATAACTGGCTGCCTGTGAAATAAAACATCAAAAAGGCCCCAATTTGTGGTGTTTGCCAATTTCCGTGGTGTAACTATTCCCACAATAGCTCCCAATGGGGTGTTACCGAACACTGAGCTGGGAAGAGGGGTGCATGGTCAGCTCTCAGGAGCTGGGCAAGTCGGCCTCAGCGCACCCCTGGGGGTCTGTGCATTACGAATCTCCCGTCCCCATAAGGGGCTGTGTTTTCCATCCTCCTGCTCATACTCTTTTAACCTGTCAATGTTACTTAAGTGGGAATTACATGTTGTAAAATGTACCTTCTACACTCTAGGCCTATTTGTTATAATCAGACTTAAACTGTTTTTTCATTCTCATGGGTGTTGGGGTCCTCAGCACCCCGGTTTTGTTGCCTCTCTAGAACTGTTAGTACTGGGTACACAGAGCTAAGTCAGCGCAGGAAAGGGCTCCTGGGAGGAGTTGGTGACATCACCTGTAGGGCCTATCTCGGTAGAACACGCAGGATGCACTGAACTGCCCACAAGGAGTGTGACAGCTCCTGTGAGATGTCTACTGGGGACTTTGTCAGCGATCAGTGCCCAGGGTTCTTCTCGGGGGCAGGTCACCTGGCACCTCTGCCCGGCACTTCCCCAAATTCCAGGCTCCCAGAGGGAGAGCCGGTGTCAGCACAGGTGGTTTAGGCCCATTGAGGCACCATAGTCACATGTGCTGAGGACCTGCTGTGCGAACCGCTTCCTGAGCTGGCCCTTCTGAGGAGGACGCTGAGCACAGCCTCAGTCCCCCCTGAAGAGTAGCCCCTCCCCCAGGGCAGGCCCCGCTGTCAGGTTACTCAGCTTTTGTGTCCAGAAAGCATGTCCATCTCCTGGACGTAGATGTGGTCAGAGTGACGGGGGCTCCCGGGTCACCACTGAGGGGCAGGAACACGGTGGCCCAGGGGACGACTTGGGACCAAATGCTGGCCAGGCAGAGGCCTTTGTTATAAACAAGAAAAATGAGTCCTGTTAAGTGCATAAGGCAAGGCATTTATTGGAGGGGACAGACAGTGCACAGAATGGGCTGGGGCAGGAGGAGGTGAAGAAGCCAGCATAGGATGCAGTGGGGTGCTCAGCCACACGGCTGAGGTGGCGAGCTTCTCTCCCTTCACTCCTCTCCAGGCCCCAAGGCCTGGAGAGTCCAGCTGGCCTCGCTGGGTCACTGCCAGCCCGGGCAGGTGGCAGGGCACGGTGCTTTGGGGGAAGTCGGTGGAGAATGGGGAACTGTTTCCAGAGGAGAAATGCACAGCAGTGGCCGGGTGACCACAAACGCCCAGTGCGGGGACTTGGCAGCTGCCTTGGCTGTCAGTATAGAACCCTGGGGTGCAGATGGCAGTGAGCTCTTGAGTGTTTGGGTGCCCTTAAGACGATCACTCAGCAGCAGGACTTCTGGGTCGAGGTGGGGACGCAGCAGGCCGGGCGGGAGCACACGGGGCGGCAGAGCAGGGACATGCAGGAGGACGGGCGGCAGCAGCTGGGCTGGCAGGAGGAGGTGGGGCCACAGCATGAGGAGGCGGGCACACAGCAGGCAGGCCTGCACACGGGGCGGCAGATGACGGACACGCAGGAGGAGGGTCTGCAGCAGGATGAGGTGCAGGAGGTAGGCTGGCAGCATGAGGAGGCCCCAGAGCAGACGGGCACACAGCACATGGGCTTGCAGCAGACAGGGGTGCTGCAGAGGGACACACAGCAGGAGGGCTGGCAGCTAGATTGCTGGCAACAAGAGGGCAAGCAGGAGCTGGTATAGAAGCTTGTGCAGGCTGACTGGCAGGGGCTGGACCCACAGGACATCTGGCAGCAGGGGCTGGACATGCAGCTCACTGGGTTGTAGATGAGGGTCTGGGTAGGGACCAGGGCACAGCAGCTGGGGGTGCAGCAGGAGGGCTGGCAACAGTTGGGGACACAGCATGTTGGCTGGCAGCAGTTGGGGACACAGCAGGAGGGTTGGCAGCAGCTGGGGACATAGTAGGTGGGGGCGCAGCAGGAGGGCTCACAGCAGCTCTCTGGACAGTCGTCCACCTGCCAGGAAGAGTCGGTGCAAGAGTCACTGGACCCGGGCAGGCAGGTGCGGTTGCCATAGCTCAGGTTGCTGGAGCAGACGGACAGGGCGGAGGCGGCCATGGTGGGCGGTGGAGTTGGAGGAGGGTTTGAGTGTGTGAGTGTATGAGTGAGTGTGAGTGTGTTAGGTGCCCGGGGCTGTTGGCTTTTATACCCTCTCTGCTGTGTTTCCCTGCAGGATGCTCACACAGCTTCTTCCTTGTTTTTGTTTGAGGCTCTCATTAGTGCCGGGTTTGTGTTTTTGTTCTGTGAGTTCTTGCTCGCTGATAAAGCTGCTAGGGTGTTGTGTGCTCTGTGGATGCACCCTAAGCTGCCTTTAGTTCATAACATTGAGGTGGGATGGGTGTGTCTGCAAATAGCATGTCCCGGGGTCTGAGTCGGCCTCATGAGAGAACCACCTCTCCTAGTCCAGCTGCCCCTTCTGGGCACCTGGGGTGTCCCGCACACACTAGGGGATTCTGATTGTTTGGGGGCCAAGGCTTCCCAAGCGCCTGGCTGGAGGGCCTGGGCCATAGAGGGCAGGGGCTGGAGCATTTCTAACTGTGGCTCCCAGCACTCCCCCAAGGTCAGGGACGCCCCTGGGCCAGGTGCCAAGCAGGTCAAGTTGGATGGTCTGGCAGTGGCACCTCCATGTCCCTGGGTGGGTGGTTCACAGCCCTGTCACCTGCCCGACCACTCAGTGAGGCACAGATCCCGCCCACAGCCTTCTCGTGCCATCTGCATGTGCCCGGCACCGGGAGCCGTGCGTGTGAGCCCGAGGTCCCTGTCCCCTGTCCACCTCCCTGCAGAGAGCACAGCCACCACGGCAAGGCCTCTGTTTGGAAAACAAGGACTGCATGTGCTTCCTGTTTATTTTCTTGTTTGTTTTTTTGTTTGTTTGTTTTATCTATTTTATTGATTTTTTACAGAGATGACGATAGAGGGATAGAGAGCTAGAAATGTCGATGAGAGAGAAACATCGACCTGCTGCCTCTTGCACATCCCCTACTGGGGAAGTGCCCGCAACCAATGTACATACCCTTGACCGGAATCCAACCTGGGATCTTTCAGTCTGCAGACTGACGCTCTACCACTGATCCAAACCGGTTTCAGCTGTTTTCTTGTTTTTTAATCCTATGTAATTAAACCCCAATATGCAAATCGACCAAATGTCAGAACGACCAGTTGCTATGATGCTCACTTACCACCAGGGGGCATGCGCTCAATGCAGAAGCTGCCCCATGGTGGTCAGTGCACTCCCACAGGGGGAGCACTACTCTGCCTGAAGCTATGCTCATGGCTGGCAAGTGCAGTGGCAGTGGAGGGAGATTTTCCCGCCGCCATGGAAGCGCTAAGGAGCAGAGAACAGAGCAGTAAGGAGCAGTGAGCAGGTGGGTGGTAAGGCGTGTGGGACCAGGGTCAGGCAGGGCCCATCCCTGACCATAAGAGAGCGATGGCTTTGAGCCAGGAAGTGTGGTGTGGCACAGCAGGGCACCCAGGGCCATCGTGTTTATGTGGCCAGGAGAGGAGCTTCATGAGCTTCTAGCTCCTCCCCCCTTCACTCAGGACTGGGCTAGAGGAAGTGGGGCCACAGAAGCCTGATGTCACGGGCTTCCAGGGGCTTCTAGGTGCTGGAGAGGGAGACTCCCTGGAGCTGGCTGGCGCTGGAGGACAGTTTTACTCAGCAGCAGGACATCTGGGCCGAGGTGGGGACGCACACCCTGTTTCAGTACTTTTCAAAAAAATAAAAATAAAATGCCTGTGATAAACACATGTTGCTGCATGAATCAGTAGTTCTTTATTTTGTTTTTTCCCTGTGAGGTATTTCAAACCCTGCTTTATGTTATTTATGTATTCCCTTTATCAATGATGGAAATTTCCATTATTTCCATATTTATGTAAATAAATTAATAATGCTGTTATGAAAAGTCTTGTACATTTTGGTTTTGATGAGCATAGTTAGTAATTCCAGGGTACAGACACCAATAGAATTATTGGGTCACGGGACAGGCATGAGTTTAGTTAATGCACACTGCCCAACGTGTTCCTAAAGAAATGTTCCTTCCCATTAGTCAATTTTATAAATTCCAATGACTGTATATCCTGTATAAAATGAGGTATTGTCAATCTTTTAAAATCTTACTCATTTTGGAAAGTGTGTGAGGGACTGGTGTTGTTGCATTAATTTGAGTTCTCTGATGAGTAAATTGCTCACTGAACATTTGAATATCTTTTCTTACAGGTGCTTGTTCAAGCTGTTTGCTCATTTTAGTTAAATAGGGTTATTGTACTTTTTGATTTGTAGAAATTTATTATATACTAGAGGCCCAGTGTATGAAAATTCATGCACTGGAGAAAAATTTCTCAGCCTGGCCTGCTCCCTCTCACAGTCCAGAAGCCCTCAGGGGCAGGAGGCGACCAGTGATCAGGGGAAAGTGATGACCCCATCACACCTCTGTTGCTGCCACTGCCGGCAGCGCAAGCCTTGGCCAGACCTGGTTACCTGAGCCTCAGGCGGCCCTGGGCAGCTGGGCAGCTGCCATTCGAGGCTTGCCTGCATCTCAGGCTGGCCCTGGGTGGCTGGGGGGCTGAGGGGACTGGGGGACTCGGGAGGCAGGCACCTGCCATTCTGATGGGTTTGAGGTGACTGAGCACTGCAATCTTGTGGCTGTGGGCGCCACCATCTTTGAGGGTGTGACAGTCAATTAGCATATTCCCTCTCTATTAGATAGGATTCTGAATATGAGTTCTTGGTTGTCTATGTGTAGGGTTTATTGGTAAATGTTTAATAACTGGCTGCCTGTAAAACAAAACAACAAACACCTGGATTTGTGGTGTTTGCCAATTTCCGTGGTGTAACTATTCCTACAATAGCTCCCAATGTGGTGTTACTGAGCACTGAGCTGGGAAGAGGGGTGCATGGTCAGCTCTCAGGAGCTGGGCAAGTCGGCCTCGGACCACCCCTGGGGGTCTGTGCATTGCGAATCTCCCGTCCCCGTCTGGGGATGTGTTTTCCATCCTCCTGTCCTACGCTTTTAACCAGTCAACATTATTTAAGTGGGACTTACATGTTTAAAATGTACCTTCTCCACTCTAGGCCTGTTTGTTATTATCAGACTTGAACATATTTTTTTTTCATTCTGATGGGTGTTGGGGTCCTCAGCCCCCCGGTTTCGATGCCTCTCTAGAACTCTTAGGACTTGGTACACAGAGCTAAGTCAGCACAGGAAAGGGCTCCCGGGAGGAGTTGGGGACATCGGGTGTAGAGCCTCTCCCAGTGGATCATGCAGGATGCACTGAACTGCCCACAAGGAGTGTGACAGCACCTGTGAGATATCTACTGGGGACCTTGTCAGCGATCAGGGCCCAGGGTTCTTATCAGGGGCTGGTCACGTGGCACCTCTGCCCGGCACTTCCCCAAATTCCAGGCTCCCAGAGGGAGAGCCGGTGTCAGCACAGGCGGTTTAGGCCCATTGAGGCACCGTAGTCACATGTGCTGGGGACCTGCTGTGCGAACCGCTTCCTGAGCTGGCCCTACTGAGTGGGACACTGAGCACAGCCCGGGTGCCCCCTGAAGAGTAGCCCCTCCCCCAGGGCAGGCCCCGCTGTCAGGTTACTCAGCTTTTGTGTCCAGAAAGCATGTCCATCTCCTGGACGTAGGTGTGGTCAGAGTGACAGGGGCTCCCAGGTCACCACTGAGGGGCAGGAACATGGTGGCCCAGGGGACGACTTATGACCAAATGCTGGCCAGGTAGAGGTCTTTGTTATAAACAAGAAAAATGAGTCCTGTTAAGTGCATCAGGCAAGGCATTTATTGGAGGGGACAGACAGTGCACAGAATGGGGGTAGGGCGGGAGGAGGTGAAGAAGCCAGCATAGGATGCAGTGGGGTGCTAAGCCACACGGCTGAGGTGGCAAACTTCTCTCCCTTCACTTCTCTCCAGGCCCCAAGGCCTAGAGAGTCCAGCTGGCCTTGCTGGGTCACTGCCAGCCCAGGCAGGTGGCAGGGCACGGTGATTTGGGGGAAGTGCTGTGTGCCCGTCGGTGGAGAAGTGGCAAACTGTTTCCAGAGGAGAGATGCACAGCAGTGGCCGGGCGACCACAAACGCCCAGTGAGGGGACAAACGAGGGGACTTGTCAGCTGCCTTGGCTGTCAGTATAGAACCCTGGGGTGCAGATGGCCGTGAGCTCTTGAGTGTTTGGGTGCCCTGAAGACGATCACTCAGCAGCAGGACTTCTGGGTCGAGGTCGGGACACAGCAGGCCGGGCGGGAGCACACGGGGCGGCAGATCAGGGACATGCAGGAGGACGGGCGGCAGCAGTTGGGCTGGCAGGAGGAGGTGGGGCCACAGCAGGAGGAGGTGGGCACACAGCAGGCAGGCTTGCACACGGGGCGGCAGATGACGGACACGCAGGAGGAGGGTCTGCAGCAGGATGAGGTGCAGGAGGTGGGCTGGCAGCATGAGGAGGCCCCAGAGCAGACGGGCACACAGCACATGGGCTTGCAGCAGACAGGTGTGCTGCAGACGGACACACAGCAGGAGGGCTGGCAGCTAGACTGCTGGCAGCAAGAGGGCGTGCAGGAGCTGGTACAGAAGCTTGTGCAGGCTGACTGGCAGGGGCTGGACCCACAGGACATCTGGCAGCAGGGGCTGGACATGCAGCTCACTGGGGTGTAGATGAGGGTCAGGCAGGAAGGCTGACAGCAGCTGGGGACACAGCAGGTGGGCTGGCAGCAGCTGGGGACACAGCAGGTGGGGACACAGCAGGTGGTGGCACAGCAGCTGGGGGCACAGCAGCTGGGGACATAGCAGGTGGGGGCGCAGCAGGAGGGCTCACAGCAGCTCTCTGGACAGTCGTCCACCTGCCAGGAGGAGTCGGCGCAGGAGTCACTGGACCCGGGCAGGCCGGAGCGGTTGCCATAGCTCAGGTTGCTGGAGCAGACGGACAGAGTGGAGGCGGCCATGGTGGGCGGTGGAGTTGGAGGAGGGTTTGAGTGTGTGAGTGTGTGAGTGAGTGTGAGTGTGTAAGGTGCCCGGGGCTATTGGCTTTTATACCCTCTCTGACTGTGTTTCCCCGCAGGATGCTCACACAGCTTCTTCCTTGTTTGTGTTTGGGACACAGAGAACTCTCATTAGTGCCGGGTTTGTGTGTTTTTGTTCTGTGAGTTGTTGCTCATTGATAAAGCTGCTAGGGTGTTGTGCGCTCTGTGGATGCACCCTAAGCTGCCTTTAGTTCATAACATTGAGGTAGAAGGATGTGTGTCTGCAAATAGCATGTTCCTGTGTCTGAGTTGGCCTCATGAGAGAACCACCTCTCCTAGTCCAGCTGCCCAATGTGGACACCTGGGGTGTCCCGCACACTAGGGGATTCTGATCATTGGGTGCCACTGCTTCTCAAGCGCCTGGCTGGAGGGCCTGGGCCAGAGAGGGCAGGGGCTGGAGCATTTCTAACTGTGGCTGCCAGCACGCCCTCCAGGTTAGGGACACCCCTGGGCCAGGTGCCAAGCAGGTCAAGTTGGATAGTCTGGCAGTGGCACCTCCACGTCCCTGGGTGGGCGATGCACAGCCCTGTCACCTGCCCGACCGCTCAGTGAGGCACAGACCCTGCGCCCGCCCACAGCCTTCCTGTGCCATCTGCATGTGCCCGACATCGGGAGCTGTGTGTGTGAGCCAGAGGTCCCTGTCCACCTCCCTGCAGAGAGCACAGCCACCATGGCAAGGCCTCTGTATGGAAAACGAGTACTGCTTGTGCTTCCTATTTATTTTCGTGTTTTTTAATCCTATATAATAAAACGCTATATAATATGTAAATTGACCAAATGGCAGAACAACCAGTTGATATGATCCACATTGACCACTAGGGGGCCAGACGCTCAATGCAGAAGCTGCCCCCTGGTGGTCAGTGCACTCCCACAGGGGGAGCGCTACTCAATTAGAAGCTGTGCTCATGGCTGGCGAGTGCAGTGGCAGTGGAGGGAGCCTTTCCCGCCTCCATGGAAGCACTAAGGAGCAGAGAATAGAGCAGTAAGAAGCAGTGAGCAGGTGGGTGGTAAGAAGTGAGGCATCTCAGACGGCAAGAGGGATGTCCAACTGCTGACCTAGGCCCAATCCCTGAGGTTATCGGACCTAAGTCAGCAGTCAGACATCCCCCAAGGGGTCCTGGATTACAAGAGGGTGCAGGCCTGGCTGAGGGAACCCCCTTTCCTCGCCCAGTGCACAAATTTCATGCACTGGGCCTCTAGTAGAAAAATAAAATTCACAGCAATATTAACAGTCAGGGTGAGAAGGGCAAATAGTTAAAGTGTTCTGAGGTCTCAGCATTGCTTTGAAGGTGGTAAGAGTGCCCATGTGTACTTGACTAACCAAGAATGGATACTACAATCTCTGGGTCACCACTGAGAGGGCAGTGAATACAGTGGGTAACTAATCAAGAGTAGAAAAGGGTAATGGTCCTGGCTGGGTGGCTCAGCTGGTTGAAGCGAAGGCCTATATACCAGAAGGTTGTGGGTTAGATTCCTGGTCAGGGCACTTAACTGCATTGCTAAGCTGATCCCCAGCGGGGCATATGCAGGAGGCAATGGATCAGTTTTTCTCTCTTACATCGATGTTTCTTTCTCTCTTCTCTCCTCTCTCTCTAAAATCAACAAAAGCTTACCCTTGGTGAGGATTAGAAAAAAAAGAGAGAAATTATAAAAATACTCAGTTAAGCTGAGACCAGTTTGGCTCAATGGATAGAGCGTCGGCTTGGGGACTGAAAGGTCCCGGGTTCGATTCCGGTCAAGGGCATGTACATTGGTTGCGGGCACATCCCCGGTAGGGGGTGTGCAAGAGGCGGCTGATCGATGGTTCTCTCTCATCGATGTTTCTAACTCTCTATCCCTCTCTCTTCCTCTCTGTAAAAAATCAATAAAAATATATTTAAAAAAATACTCAGTTAACTCAAAATAGTCAGAAAATAAAAAAATAAAAAAAAACATTTTGGGGCAAATAGAAAACATGTAATCAGGGAGTAGATATAAATAGGTATGTGTGTTGTTTACAAAAGATTAAAAGTAAAAACATGGATAAGAATACATCATGCAAACACCAACTTTGGAAAGCTGGTGTGGCTTATTAATATCAGGAAAAATATATTTTAAGGCAAGAAGCATTATTTGAGATAAAGACATTTCATAGAGCTGAAAGGGTCAATCCACCAGGAAGCTATAACAATTCCAAATGTGTAAGTACCTAGTAACATAGCTTAAAACATAGAAATAAAAAATTAACAGGACTAAAAGTAGATATATTATAGATCATGATAAAGTCATAATTTGGGACATTAATACACCTATCTCAATAATTGAAGGAAAGGGAGACAAAAATAATCTGAGTGGAAATGGCTATTTTAAGTTAGGAATAAAACAGTGGTATTATACATTTTTGTGGCCCCTAACCCCAGAGTGTAGTCAGGACCTGTGACATGCTTCAGGCATAAAGCTGATGGGATGTGTGTGGTAACACTGTGTAAGATTGTAATGCTGGTCTTGGGAGGAGGCTCTGCCCTGTGCTGGCTGTCAGAGCCAGCTGTCCCATGTGAACTGCCCATGGATAGGGCCTTGTGGCAAGAAATGAGAGCAATACCAGTTACAGCCACCAGGAAACAGAGGCCCTCAGCCAGACCACCGTCAAAGAACTGAGTTCTGATGAGAACATGAGCTGGGAAGAAACTCCTTCCCCAGTCGAGCCTCCAGATGAGACCCCATGATGCGAACCCACAAGAAACCCAGTACAGCACGACCCCAGAGATTCTGAGGTGACATGTGCATTGTTTTAGGCCAGTAAGCTTGTATAATTCATTACCAGCAATAGGAAAGAAGCACCCAGGCCATTGAGGAATTCTAGGCAGCTATCAACAAGGAAGAGAAGTCTCCATGTATTCATAGGGAAGGAGCTCCACATTATTAAGGTGTTTTGTTTTGTTTTGTTTTTTTGTTTTTGTTTTTTAAAAAAACACATACTGGGTAAACTATGAAACGATTTGTATTTTAAAAAATTTATACACAGACTTTATCTATATCCAGATAGAGGAATGATAGAGGTATGCAGTCAATCTTTATTAGTCAGGGACTCCTTATTTGTGAATTCACCTACTCACTACAATTCATTTGTAACCCCCAAATCAACACTTGTGGCACCTGTGTGGTCCTTTGTGGGCTTGTGCAGGGTGACCCAAAAATTTGAGTTCCCAGCTGAGGCTGCTCAGGCCTCTTGTGTCAGCTCTCAGTCTGTAAACCTGTCCTTCCAGGGTCTCTTTGGGGCTGTGATTTTCCACATGTGGGGGCTTTATGCTTGTGGCTTGAAATGGAGCTGAAGTGCTGTCTGGTGTCCTCAGTGCAAGAAGGCTGTGTTGTGCATCACGGAGAAAATACACGTTCACCCGAGACTGAGAGTGCAGGTGGTTATTATAATCCAATTTTGAGTAAGATGTATATTAAATATACATTAATTAAATAAGACGTCTTTAACCAGAAACACACATCAAACAAGACTATGCATTGATGGGCTGATGAAAATACTGTGCCCAGAGGCTCACAGGGCCCCAACCCTGCACTTCCCCCAGCACCATGGTTCAGCATTTGCTAATTCAGTGTTTACAGCAACTTCATAGACCATAACTACTACGAATAATGAGAATGGACTATGTGTAAGAGTGTGTGTGTGTGTGTGAGAGAGAGAGAGAGAGAGAGAGAGAGAGAGAGAGAGAGAGAAGCACACACAGACACACAGATGGAGGAGAGACAAGGGACAGAGAAGGGGGTTGTCTGGAGTAGGCAGGCGGGATATCCGACTGGCAGAAGGCTGGGTAAAGGCTGTGGGGGACTGTCTTGGAGGAGAAGCTGGGCTTCCCCCACAGAGCAGGCCACCCAAGAGGGAGACCAGGGCTGAGACCCTTCCCTGGTTCAGCCTTGGTGCTCCCTGGGGGTCACGCATAGGAACCAGGCACCCAGGAAGCTGTCATTTTCCTGGGAGGAAGGGAGCCACACGATGTTCCCTAGAACACAGTCCTGTGGCCTCCCAAGCTCACAGACAGGTAGAACGTGGACACGCGGACAGCTGGCCTCGGACAGAGGCGCTTTAGTGATAAGAAATCCCCCTGAGCTCCAGCCAAGAGGTCCGGGTCCTGCCGCACCCATGTGGCCCTGGAAGTCACTCCGTTCCTCCCACACAAGTGGCCAACAGTCCTGCGTCCCCACAGGATGGGGTGTCTGAACCACGGGGAAAGTCTTCCTAGTGTGGCTGCCTACAGAGTGAGCCAGGCGCTGAGGCCGCCCTGGCCATTGACCGGACGATGCCCCAGCACATCCAAGGTGGCCTGAGCCAAGACCCCACCCTCCCCTGTCTGAGGATCCAGACCAGGACCTGCCACCCACTCCTATCCCCCTGGGGACACAACAGGGCAGGCTCCTGAGCTAAACGATCTAGGAGATTTACAAGCTGGACAACATCCCAGGCAAACAAGCATGCTGTGCCTCTGGGAAGCGGAAATGGGACACAGAGCCAGGAGGGTATAAAAGCCAACAGCCCTGGGCACCTCACACACTCACACTCACACCTCCTCCCAGTTCACTCCAGCCCCACCACCCACCATGGCCGCCTCCACCCTGTCCGTCTGCTCCAGTGACCTGAGCTATGGCAACCACTCAGTGGACGACTGTCCAGAGAGCTGCTGTGAGCCCTCCTGCTGCGCCTCCAGCTGCTGCCAGCCCACCTGCTGTGTCCCCAGCTGCTGCCAGCCCTCCTGCTGTGTCCCCAGCTGCTGCCAACCCACCTGCTGTGTCCCCAGCTGCTGCCAGCCCTCCTGCTGTGTCCCCAGCTGCTGCCAGCCAACGTGCTGTGTCCCCAGCTGCTGCCAGCCCACTTGCTGCGTGTCTGTCTGCTGCAAGCCCATGTGCTGCATGCCCATCTGCTCTGAGGCCAGCCCCTGCTCAACCTCCTCATGCTGCCAGCCCACCTCCTGCACCTCGTCCTGCTGCAGGCCCTCCTCCTGCATGTCCCTCATCTGCCGCCCCGTGTGCAGGCCTGCCTGCTGTGTGCCCACCTCCTCCTGCTGTGGCACCACCTCCTCCTGCCAGCCCAGCTGCTGCCGCCCATCCTCCTGCATGTCCCTGCTCTGCCGCCCCGTGTGCTCCCGCCCAGCCTGCTGTGTCCCCTCCTCGGGCCAGTCGTCCTGCTGCTGAGCAGGCATGTCCCCCAGGGCCAGCCGGGCTCAGGTCTCACCCTGTGACTGTGGACCTCCCAGCCACCCCTCAGTCTGGTCCTGACCTGTGTTAGATGGCTGTCTCTACTCAGGATGGGGTCCCTCAGATTCCATTGTTCTGAGCTGACCTCACTGCTTCCTTGGCTCTTGCCTCCCAGGTGCTATCAGCACCTGCCCCTGGACACCTGTCCTTGCCTCCAAGTTTCTCTGTCAAGTCACTTGATCTCTACTCTCAGCCTGTTAGCACCTCCTTGGTCAACCCAATAAACTCACCTCATCACCTGATGGCTTCCTTCATCTGATTTCATGGAGGGAGGGCAGGAGAACACGGGATTTTCACCAGACTTTGGTCTCCTCCCGCCTCACGTATTTCTAGAAGCGAGTAAGAGATCCCAAAGGGCAGTGTCCTAACAGCTCTGGGCAAGGTGACAGGGTGGGACCCTTGCCCTCACCAAGGAATGTCAGTGTCTGGAGGGCCCCTGCCCCAGGCTTACCTGAGGCTGGTCACCCGCAGACACATCTAGGGGTTCTCAAATCCTTTGGACCATTGCCACCCGCTATCCACCTGGGCAAGCCCACCCTTCAGAGTTACTACTTATCAGGGAGCTGGCCTGGGACTCTGGATGGCACACCTCTATGGTCTGGGCCACCTGGTCACCTACCTGCAGGTCCGCTCTGTTAGCACAGACTGAGGGAAGGAGGGAGGGAGGGAGAGAGCTCACAGGAGCAAACAACTGGATGAGGAAATAAAATAGGAAGGAGTGGGTGGCAGGACCTACAGTGCCCCCTGTCTGTGTGTGCCCGGAGGGCCTCCTCTGGCAGCTCCTGGCTTGGTCTGAGAGTGTGAAGGCCACCAAGCCACGATGCAGGGCTCCCCTGAGACCTGAGTGCCACTCTCAGGCCTCAACGTACTGAAGGGCCATGGGCAACAGCCTACTCTGACGTCAGGATGACATTGACACCACCCACAGGCACATGTTGACAGTGTGCTGTGCAAATACCCCAGCAAGTTCACCCCTTAGGGGCAAAGTGGCCAGAACTGCTGCAGGAAATGAACCACTGTCCCCAACCCGGAAAGGATCTGACAGTGTTCAGCCCCCCTTGGGTAAGGTGACCAGATGTCCCGCTTTTGGCAGGACGGTCCTGATTTTTAACAATTTGTCCCGCGTCTCGCGGCGTTTTTAAAAAGTCCCGATTTTTGGAAAGACGTGGGACAAATTGTTAAAAATTGGGACGTCTGGTCACCTTACCCTTGGGCCTAGCACATGGACGGAATGCTGCCTCTCTTCTTGTGAGCCCCTCACTCTTCCTGTAGCCAGTGTCATGGCCAGACGCCACAGAGGGAGCCCCTGATGTCCCTGAGGTCTCTGCCTCCTCCCCTGAACTCCCGCCGCCTCCCACCCCACCCCATGCCTGCCTGCTGCACATTGCACGCCCAAACTTCCCTCTTCTCCTGCTGACCAGTTTTTCACCCACTTCTACTTAAAATTGCTTTGTTGAGATACAATTTACATATAATCAAATGCATGTAATTTAATTATATATTTAGATGAGTTTTTTAAAATGTCACTATCCTGTTGCCTCCGCCTATGTCAAGATATAGAGCCCTGGCCAGTTTGGTTCAGTAGAAAGAGCGTTGGCCTGAAAACTAACTGGTCCCAAGTTCGATTCTGGTCAAGGACATGCACCTCAGTTGCAGGCTCTATGCCCACATGTGTGAGGACAACCAACTGTGTCTCACTCACATTGATGTTTCTCTCTGTGTCTCTCTATCTTCTTTCCACTCTCTCTAAAAATCAATGGGGAAATATTCTCAGGCGAGGATTAACAAAAACAAAAGAGAGAGATGTAGAACATTTGCTTCAGCCCAAAGGTTCCTTGCATTCCTTCCCAATCCACCACTCTCTGCACAGAGCCCGGCCAGCCCTGAGCCACTGTCTCACTAAAGACAGGCCACAGGGAAGGAATCGTGCAGTGTGAGCCCTCATTGTCTGGCTCCACTTTCTTGTCTCTGTTGTCGTATATAACCGCAGTTAATTCCTTTTTAATGGCTGGGTTGAGCTTCATTGAGTGGATATACCAGTTTAGCCATTCCCCTGTTGAGGTATATCTGGGTTGTCTCCAGGTTATGGTGATTCTGAATGAAGCCGCTGTGAACACCTGCTCTCAGTGTGTTTTCATTTCTCTTGGGTAAATGCCTCAGGGCGGCATTGCTGGCTGCATGGTGGGTGCAGTGTGGGTAAGTGGTATTTTTATTTCCCTGATGACTAATGATGGCCATGATCTCATGTGCTTGTTTGCCATTTGTATGTCTTCCTCAGTGTAGTGCCTGCTCCAAACCTTTGCCATTCCTTCCTTTTTGCAGAAGCATAGTTTTCCATTGTGTGGATGTACCACAGTTTTTTAACCCACTTATCTGCTGTTGGATATTTAGGCTGTTTCCAAATCTTAGTTAGTGTAAATTGTGCTGCTATGAACTTAGGGGTGCATATATCCTTTCTGATTGGTGTTTCTAGTCTCTTGGGATATATTCCTAGAAATGGGATCACTGGGTCAAATGGGAGTTCCATCTTTAGTTTTTTGATGAAACTTCATACTGTTCTCTACAGTGGCTGCATCAGGTTGCATTCCCACCAGCAATGCACAAGGGTTGCCTCAATATATTTAACTAGAGGTCCGGTGCATGAAAATTCATGCACTAGAGCAAGGCGGGGGAGGCGGGGGGGTCCCTCAGCCTTGCCTGCCCCCTTCACAGTTTGGGAGCCCTCAGGTGCAGGAGGTTACCAGGCGATCAGGGGAAGCGATGCCCCATCAAACCTCTGCTGCTGCCATTGCTGGCAGTGCAAGCCTCAGTCAGCCCTGGTTACCTGAGCCTCCAGTGGCCCTGGGCGGCTGAGTAGCCACATTCTAAGGCTTGCTGCACCTTGGGCCAGCCATAGGTGGCTGGGGGGCTGAGGAGACTGGGGGACTCCGGAGGCAGGCACACAGAGTGCACCTGCCACCCCGGCAGGGCTGAGTGAACTGGACACCGCCATCTTGTGGCTGTGGGTGGGGCAGTTAGCATATTCCCTCCTTATTGGCTGTGTGCATCGCCATCTTTGCAATGATGTGAGTCAATTAGCATATTCCCTCTTCATTAGATAGGATAGGACTGAAATCATACAGAGAATCTTGTTTGACCACAATATAATCAGAAATCATTAACAGAGGGATATCTAGAAATTTGTACAATTAGGAAATTAAACGACAGGGCTCCCTTCCTTTGTTTCCCTTCTCTTGGGACCTGAGTCCTGGACTGTCAGCTGTTTAGTGTCTGAAACCTGGCTTTTCATATCTTTCATCACATTTTCTAATTACTTAGGGTGGGAAACTCTGTGTCTCTTCTAATCCAATCTCTTGCTTTCCTCTTTGACTCCTCAAGTTCTTTCCTGGCTCTGGAACTGAGCCTGTCTGCTTCCTCACTGGGAAATACTCCTGCAAACTTCAAGCTCAACCTGAGACATACCTACTTCCCCAAGGACTGGGCCATGTGGCCAACATTCTCCTGGAGATCCTAACAGTGGGTCCAGGAGAGATATCAGAAACCACGGCCTAACTTTTTGGGCGCTCTGGGGTCCATGAGAGATGTCCCCAACCCCCAGACCACCCAAGGCTCCGTGGCTTGCACAGACCCCATGGTAAATACATCTGTAGAGATGTCACAAAGTAAGATCAAGGAAAAGGACTACTAGTATTCAGTGAGTGATAGAACAGCAGGGTGAAGGATGAACTCAAGATGGCCCCAAATGGCCCAAGGGCTGTGAGGCCTGCCCCACCCTCTCCTGCCCAGCTGGGAAACCTGGGAGCCACAGGAAACCCACAGGGTCCTGCTGGATGGCAGAGTGCCACGTGCCAAGGGGAAAGTAGAGGTGCAGTGATGCTGAGAAATGACAATGAGGACACAGAGACATCAGTGCATGCTCAGTTCAGGGCGTGTTTATTGGCCAGTTTACTGAAGTGCATCCAGACAAGGCTCAGGGTCAGAGACTGGTGGAGGCTGAGCTGGTCCTCGGGAGGGTGGGAGACATGGAGGGGGTACTGCCTGGAGGACTTCCTAGGAGCTCCTCAAGAGCCGTTGCATCGAGTCTGGTCCTTTAGTTCTTCCACTTGTCCCACTCAGCAGCAGGTTGGACCAGCAACCAGCAGGTCTAAGTGCCGGGGCGTTTCAGGATGTGGCATCAGCTTCCTATGGGGCGGCCTCCTGACATGGGTTGGGACTGGACGGAGGGGCAGCTGGGAGAGCCACGGTCATGTGGTGGGACCTGAGCAGGGCTGGCCCTGGAGGGTGTGCCCAGGCAGCAGCAAAACTTCTGGCCAAGGCCGGGACTCAGCAGGATGGGCGGGAGCACACAGGGCGGCAGATCAAGGACACGCAGGAGGATGGGCGGTAGCAGCTGGGGCGGTAGCAGCTGGGGCGGTAGCAGCTGGGGCGGTAGCAGCTGGGGCGGTAGCAGGAGGCGGGCACACAGCAGGCAGGCTTGCACACAGGGCGGCAGATGAGGGACACGCAGGAGGAGGACCTGTAGCAGGTCGAGGTGGAGGAGGAGGGTCTATAGCAGAATGAGCGGCAGGAGGAGGGTCTATAGCAGCTCGAGGGGGCTGGGCAGAGAGTGGCCCTAGAACAGACAGGCCTGCGGCACACCGGTGTGCAGCAGACAGGCACACAGCAGGCCTGCTGGCAGGGGGAGGAGGTGCAGCAGGAGGGCATGCAGGAGCTGGTGCAGGAGCTGGTGCAGGCTGGTTGGCAGGGGCTGGGCCCACAGGTCACCTGGCAGCAGGGGCTGGACATGCAGCTCACTGGGGTGCAGACAAGGGTCAAGCAGGGGGCTGGAGCACAACAGCTGGGGACACAGCAGGAAGGCTGGCAGCAGCTGGGGACACAGCAGGTGGGCTGACAGCAGCTGGGCACACAACAGCTGGGGGTACAGCAGGTAGGAACACAGCAGGTGGGGACACAGCAGGAAGGCTGGCAGCAGCTGGGAACACAGCAGCTGGTGGTGCAGCAAGAGGGCTCACAGCAGCTCTCTGGACAGTCGTCCGCCTGCCAGGAGGATTCAGTACAATAGTCACAGGACCCGGGCAGGCAGGCGCGGCTGCTGTAGCTCAGGTCGCTGGAGCCTACGGACAGAGCAGAGGCGGCCATGGTGGGGCAGTGGGGCTGGAGGAGGGTGTGAGCGAGTGAGTGAATGAATGTGTGAATGTGTGAGATGCTGAGGGCCGTCCGGCTTTTATATGCCCCTCCCTGGCTGTGTCTGTTGTCCCAGCAGCAGGCTCCCGCGTCCCTTCCTTGTTGACAGTGAGAGTGGGTGCTGGGGAATGAGCAGCAGATGTGTTCATCCCAGGCGTCGTTGCTCAGCTCCCCACACTCTCTGCATTGGCGCGGGGCGTGTTTACCTGTTTATAGTTTTAGAAAGGAATCGTGTCTTGATGTGTTAGTGGTATCCCTGGGGGCCACGTCGGAGCCCAGGTGTGTGGGGCTAGACCCTGGTCCCTGGCCGGGGGAGCCCCGAGGTTTCTGCCCTCAGGCGGAACCAGGTCGCGTGCCTTGTGGTTGGAGGCGTATCTAGTTTCTAAACAAAGACAGTGTGAGTCATCATATGCGTGCGATCCTGCATCCGTGTCCTGCGGCCCCATAACAAAGCACCAGGACAGTGGGCCTGGCACAGCAGAAATGTATTTTGTCACCATCTAGAGGCCAAAGTCCCAGGTCCAGGTGCCGGCCGGGTTGGTTCTGAGGCTGTGAGGGAGCACCTGCCTCCCCCCTCCCCACCCATCCCCGACCCCGTGTTCTCCCCAGCTTCTCGTGGTTGCTGGCCCTCTTTGGGTTCCTTGGCTAAGCATCACCCCAATCTCCGCCTCCATGTTCACGAGGCCTTGTCCTTGGGTGCCTCTCTGTCCAAATTTCCCCTTTTCATAAGGACACCCATCAGTCATATCAGATTAGGACCTCATTTGAACTTGGCTGTATCTGTAAAGACCCTCTTGCCAAATAAGGTCACATTCTCAGGTCCTGGGGGAGAGGGTGCGGCAATATTTGGGGATGCAGTTCAGCCCATTGCAAGCACCATGGTGCCATGCCAGGGTCAAGGGTGGAGGGAGAGGCTGAGCGGGTCTCCTTTCTCGGGCTTTGGGTCTGCTGCGGGTGAAGGACAGGGTTTGGCAGCACGCACCTGACTTCTGCTTGTCCACAGATGGCTGAAGCTCCCGGGATGATTTTCTTGAAGTTTATTTTATCAAATAATCATATAAAAGAGTACAGAGACTTTACCTGTACCCCTTGCCCAGCTTCCTCTGGTGTCCCCGTCTTACATAGCCTTAGCATAGACCAATTACCAAATTTTAGAAACCACACTGGTGTTCACTAAAGGACTGACTGTATTTGAGTCACCAGTTGCCCATGAACGCCCTCCCTCCATCCCCTCACCTCTCATGGCACCTGTCAAGTCTCCTTCTTCTCCTGCTTGGGACAATTGCTCCGTTGCCTTGTGCTTTGTGACCTTGACACTTCTGGGGAGCATGGGTTGGGTGGATTGCAGAACGTCCCTCAAGTTGGGTTTGTCTGATGTGTTCTCACAATTCGTCTGGGGCTGCTATATTTGGGGGCAGAATCTCACCGAAGTCATGGGTCCAGGGAAGCAGGGTGCAGGCTGTCCATGCGTCTTATCTCTGGGAAGGTGAACCTTTTCCCCTTTGTAATTAGTACATATTGGGGGAGATTTTTTTTTAAGACTTTGAAAATAGATGTTTCATTGAAACATCTGCTCAATGGCTTCATTGTTTGTCGGGGGCTGTGTGCAGCCAGCCACTGCAGCGTTCTCATGGTGATTTTTTCCTTCCCCAATCCATCGCCATTTCCTAGTTAAAATTCTCCTCTAAGGAAGAGTGGTCTCTTCTCCTCCATTTGCTTATTTGTTCTGTTATATATTTCAATATGGACTAAAAAGTATTCATTTTATTGCATTGGATGGCAATATTATCATTTTCTATTTTTAAAAATATATGTATTTTTATTGATTTTTTACAGAGAGGAAGAAAGAGGGATAGAAAGTTAGAAACATCAATGAGAGAGAAACATTAATCAGCTGCCTCCTGCATAACCCCCACTGGGGATGTGCCCTGGACTGGAATTGAATCTGGGACCTTTCAGTCCACAGGCTGAAGCTCTAGCCATTGAGCCAAACCAGTCAGGGCTCATTTTCTATTTTTGTTGTTCGAATCATCCCAACTTTGACCACCAGGGGCGTCTTCATTTGGCTCTTGGACCCCTTTGGCATGCGACCCTCCCTGACTTCCCACATTCTGGTGCCAGCTGCCCTTGCGTTTCCCCTGTCCCCCCCCTGGAATAGGCCACTTCTCCAAGGCCCACTGGTCCCTTTCGGTGATGATGGCAGGTACAGACCAAGGTCTGGAACCAGGAGTGCTCAATGCTGCGAGCGTGTCACTTCTCCCAGGCGCTCCCCGTGGACAGAGCAAGGAGGCACTTGTACGTGGACTCACACATGACTAAACTTGGGAACACATTTAGTCTTTCCCGTGTGGGCCACGTTAGCTGCAGTGTTTTCTAGTTTAGCTTTCTCAAGCTAGGAGTTCCCTTCTATTGCTAAGAGAGTCTGTCAAGAATGATGTTGGATTTCATGAAATGTTTTTTTGTGAGGGATTTTTTTATGGTTAATCCTCATAAGAGGATATTTTTTTCCATTGATTTTTAGAGAGAGTGGAAGGATAAGATTTCCAATCCCCCGATCTGGCTTATAGTAAAGACCCTTGGGCCTCAAAGCCCCTCTTTCCAACATCAATTGCTACCCACTCTTCTCATGGGCGCCGCTGCCTGACTCTGTACAAATGGCTGGCAATGAACCTGAGACTCTCCACGGCCCACTTGGGCAACAGCCCTTGTGGCTTCAAGAAAGGGCCCTGGTTTGACCCCTAAGGGAAGATGCCCCTGGGATTTCTGGGCCATCCTGTGGGCCAGTGTGCTTTGCAGGGACACCTGTCTGCCCGGCTCCTGAAGTCAGGTCCAAGGTGACCACAGTGGGCAGCCAGGCGCCTCATGCCCAGTGCAGGGCGGCAGATGAAGCTGTCCTCTGTGACTGGCCACCTGTGTCCTCACCCACATTTACAGAGGAGAGGCCTGGGGAGGGTTTCATGGGGGCAGGGACATAATCACACCCCCTGGTACACCAGCCTGGGCTGGGCATGGGCAAGATGAGCTGGGATGGCCCGCAGGGAACACCGGGAATAGAAAACGCTGTCCATCATGCCAGCAGGGAATGGTGGAGTCGGTCCCAGTACAGGCAGGAACAAAGCACCCACGCTAGGTGTGTGACAGAACCAGCCAGTGCCTCTAAACTGCCTGGGACAGAGGAGCCTGGCATGGCTGTGGCTCCTCACTCTGCCACTCTCAGCTGCAGGGACCTCTGTTGTGTCTCCATGTCTGGTTGGCAATGTGGCACTGCTGAGGGCACCGGAGATGCCAGGCTTGACCTCTCAGCCCCGATGCCTTATGGGTGTGAGCCTGTCCCCTGTGGGACCATGCACTCCGGAGGGGGGGGGGGCAAGGGCAGGGCTGGGGCTGGTCCCCCAACACAGCCAGCATAGCCAGGTTGTGGGGAAAGGTATGAGAGGTCACCGGCAGGCCCAGGTGGTGGTTAAGTGGGGATAATTATGATATCGGCCCTTGGGGTTCTGGCAAGGATTCTGTGCCATGCTGAGACCTAGCCAGCCACACGGGTGCCCTGGAAACGTTCTGGCATAACCCGCCTGTCATTTCCTTGGCACAGATCTGCGCCCCCTGGACATCCTGGCCGAGGCCGTCCCTCCGAATGGCGCTGAGAGCGGCATCCGCGTGACACGTGTCCAAGGAGCGCTGGGCCTCCAGCTCTCCAGCCCCCAGGCCATGAGCTTCCCTGCCTCGAGGATTTTCGTCAGATGCAATCTCTTCCCTGAAGAGTTTTCCATCATCGTCACCTTGAAAGCTCCCAGTCTCCCCCCTAAGGTCAGTGACAGTTGGTGTCCTCGGTGCCGCGTGCGAAAGGCGCGCTGACTCACGTGCACAGAGGCACCGATCAAGGTCTCCTGGGCCCTGGGGTCAGGCGTGCCGGCCTTGATGGGTCGTGAAGTCCCCATCACTGGTCTTTGCAGGCAGAGCCTGTGTGGCCATTTGCTCGGGGTCTGGGCCAGCAGTTCTTGCCATTATAATTTTCCTGGTGTGCTAACCTGTCAAAGGCTAGGCTAGAAATACCGCTTAGAGTTTTGAGTTTGACATCATTTAACAGGAAAAGTAAACTGTAAACTAACAAAACATACCCTTTTGGGGCCTGATTACCTGTGCCTTGCAGTCCAGCCATCCAGACCCATCCCTGCTGGGCCCCCTCCCTGCTGGGCTGGGAGCCCTGGGGAAGGATGTGGCATCTCTTGACACCGTGCCCTGTGGGTCCCAAGGCAACGCACCTCCTAGGTGTGTGACAAACCCTTTCTGTTTACAAGTCCGAGTCCTTCTCTTCCATCCTGCGATCCTCCTTGTGGGTTTTGCCTGTGGACTGTGATTCTGTCTGATCTTTCCTGGGACTTCTGCTCACGAACCTCTCTCCTTTCGCTCCATCGAATCTGCTTCAAACCCAACTGCTGAGTGTTCTATCGCAGCCATTGTGTTTTCAGTCCTGTAATCTCGATGTTCTTCTTTTTCTAAAAACATGAATTCCAGTCCCCAGATAAAGTCTCTGTCTTGCCAGCTATTTTCTTCAATGTGACTCCAATATTTGGAAGCAAGAATTCCTTTCTGCGGAGAATTCCCACATGTGGATTCCCCGAGGGCTGGCTTTGCTTCATCTTTTCATTTCCTGTCGTGCCCAGTCCTTTTTTACCAGCCTTATTGAGACACAATAAACATACCACACCTGTCACCCCTTCACAGTCACAATTCAGTGACGTTTAGCACATTGAACTGACAGGACCAACCCTCACCACAGTGAGTTTGGAGCATGTTCATCACCCCCGAAACAAGCTCTCACCTCCCCCCGACAGCTAATTTACTTTCTGTACCCATGGGTTTGCCTCGTCTAGACATTTTGTACAAATGGAATCACATAACATAGAGCTTCTTCTATGGAGTATGTGCTCAAGGTCACCCATATTGTAGCACATGTCAGTACATCATTTCTTTTTAAAAAATATATATTTTATTGATTTTTTTACAGAGAGGAAGAGAGATGGATAGAGAGCTAGAAACTTCGATGAGAGAGAAACATTGATTAGCTGCCTCCTCACACCTCCTACTGGGGATGTGCTCACAAACAAGGTACACACCCTTGACTGGAATCGAACCTGGGACCTTTCAGTCCACAGGCCGACGCTCTATCCACTGAGCCAAACCGGTTAGGGCAGTACATCATTCCTTTTTATGACCTAATCATATTCATCGGTACAGATACACTACAATTTGTTTATCCATTCATTGGTTGATGGGCACTTGCATTCTTTCTACCCATTGGCTGTTGTGAGTAATGCTGCTATGAACTTTCACGTACATGGTTTTGTGTGGACAAATATTTTTATTTTGGGGGCTGTACATGCCTAGGAGTGGGATTGCTGGCTCATGGTGACTCTATGATTAACTTTGAGGAACAGCAGTGACTGGGGGTTGCTGTGTCTCCACATCCTCGTCAACACTTGTTATTATCTGACCTTTGTATTCTAGCCATCCTCATGAGCCTGAAATGGTATTGCTCTGAGGCTTTGATTTGCATTTCCCTGATGAGTAATGATGTTGTGTGTTTTTCATGTGTGTATCTGTGTATCTTTTTTTGGAGAAATGTCTTTTCAAATCCTTCACCCAGTTTTGTTTTTTTTTAATCCTCATCCAATGATATGTTTTTATGGATTTTGGAAGAGAGAGAGAAAGGAGAGGCATCGATGTGAGAGAGTAACGTCGATCGGTTGCCTCCTGTACTGTGGGATCCAAGACAATGCCCTTTCTAGGCGGGTGTCAAACCCTTTCTGTTTACAAGTCCAAGTCCTTGTTCTTCCATCACTGTGACTGGGGATTGAGCCTGCAACCTAGGAATGTGCTCCAACTGGGAATCCAGCCCAAACCTTTTGGTGAAAGGTGTGATGCTCCAACCAGCTGAGCCCCCAGGCCAGGGCCCTTTGCCCAGTTTTTAATTGAGTCATTTTAGTTATTTTCTTCGTGAGTTACAGGAATTTATATATTCTAGATACAGTCACCTATCACATATGATTAGCATGTATTTTCCCCTATTCTGTTGGTTGTCTTTTCACTTTCTGGGTAGTGCCCTTTGAAGCACAAAACCACCTTTTAATTTTGGTAGAGCCAGACTTATCTTATTATTCCATTCTTGCTTATGTTTTTAGTGTCATATCTTAGAATCTTGTACTAAATCTGAATTCATGAAAAATATATCCCAGTTCTTTCTTTTAAGAGTTTTATAGGGTTAGCTCTTATATTTAGGTCTTTAGCCAATTGGAGTTCATTTTTTGTGTATGGTATAAGGTAGGGGTCCAATTTCATTCTTTTTGCCTATGGATTTCCAGTTGTCCCAACCCCATTTGTTGAAGAGACTATTCTTTTCCCATTGAATGGTCTTGGCACCTTGTTGAAGATAGCCATACATGTGTGGGGTTCATTTCTGGACCCTCAATTTTATTTCATCGATAAATCATTATTGTCTGTTCTTATGCCAGCACCACACTGTCTTGATTCCTGTAGCTTTGTAATAAATTTTGAAGTTGGGAGGTGTGAGTCTTCCAAATTTGTTCTTTTTCAAGATTTTCTTTTTTTTCTATTCACTCCTTGTAATTCCATATGAATTGTAAAACCAACTTGTCAACCTTCACTAAGACGTCAGCTTGGATTCTGAGAAGAGCTGCACAGATATGTAGATGGATTGGGGGAGTGCTGCCTAATTAGCAATATTGTCTTCTGGTCCATGAACATGAGATGTTTCTCACTGATTTTGAACTTCTTTAACATAAAAACAATGCTTTGCAGTTCTCAGAATATTAGTTTTGCAGTTCTTTTGTTCCTGAGTACTTGTTCATTTCATCTAGTTTATATAATTTATTGGTAAGTCATCATACTGGGTCCAAGTTCTCCCCTCTCCCCTCACCCTGCTCCAACTCCCGCACCTTGTCAGCCCCATGAAAAGACATGCCCACCTGGTTGGATACACTTCTGAATTCCCAGGATTGCCTGGCAGCCCTGCGACCACTCCGGCCCAATGTCCACCCCACCCCACCCCACCCCACTCCTCACCTACGATGGGTGTGAAAGTGAGCGAACCAAGCAGGACCTGGCAGAGTCAGGGTCCAGAACCCCAAGATCTCACCACCCAGGCCCTCTGCTCCTGCCCGGCACTTGGCCTCCCCACCGAGGAGACCGGCCACCCCCGAGGTCCTCTCCAGGAGCACGAGGAGCAGGTCTCTCTAACAATCTGTGGGACCCAACACAACCACAAGCAGCCCTACCAGCGACCCCCTCCACCATCTGCCAGAGAGAATCATGGCCACACTCTGCCCCGGCTCATCAAGACCTGCAGGAGGATCCACTGGACCACAGTGAGGCCCTGGCACCAGCTTCCCTGAGGGCCAAATGGGGGTCAGGCTGCCATCAAGGTCCCCCGGGGCATCTGACTCATCTAATGAGGCTTCAGGGCCCTGCACTCACCCAACAAGGAAAGGGGGCATGTGAGCCTTTTGTGGGGACAACAAAGGCCAAAGACCAGATATAAAAGCGCTGGAGTCCCAGGACAGCTTACACACACTCACAGGCACTCACACACCTGCTCACTCCTCCCAGCTCACCTCCAGCCGCTGCCTCACCATGGCCACATCTGCCCTGTCCGTCTGCTCCAGCAACCTGAGCTATGGCAACCGCACCTGCCTGCCCGGTCCCACTGATTCTTGCACGGACTCCTCCTGGCAGGTGGACGACTGTCCAGAGAGCTGCTGTGAGCCCTCCTGCTGCACCTCCAGCTGCTGCCAGCCCTCCTGCTGTGTCCCCACCTGCTGTGTCCCCAGCTGCTGCCAACCCTCCTGCTGTGTCCCCAGCTGCTGTGTCCCCACCTGTTGTGTCCCCAACTGCTGCACCACGGCCTCCTATCTTACCCTTGCTTGCACCCCAGTGAGCTGTCAGACGTCGTGTGGACCCAGCCCCTGCCAACCAACCTGCACCAGCTTCTGCACCAGCTCCTGCATGCCCTCGTGCTGCCAGCAGTCTAGCTGCCAGCCCTCCTGCTGCACCTCCTCCCCCTGCCAGCACGCCTGCTGTGTGCCCGTCTGCTGCACACCTGTCTGCTGTAAGCCCATGTGCTATGTGCCCATCTGCTCTGGGGCCTCCTCGTGCTGCCAGCCCACCTCCTGCACTTCATCCTGCTGCAGACCCTCCTCCTGCGTGTCCGTCATCTGCCGCCCCGTGTGCAGGCCTGCCTGCTGTGTGCCCGCCTCCTCCTGCTGTGGCCCCACCTCCTCCTGCCAGCCCAGCTGCTGCCGCCCGTCCTCCAGCATGTCCCTGATCTGCCGCCCCGTGTGCTCCCGCCCGGCCTGCTGTGTCCCCACCTCGGCCCAGGGGTCCTGCTGCTGAGCAAACTTGTCCCTCAGGCCCAGCCGGGCTCAGGTCTCACCCTGTGACTGTGGACCTCCCAGCCATTCCTCAGTCTGGTCCTGACCTGTGCTAGATGGCTGCCGCCACTCAGGATGGAATCCCTCAGTTTCCACTAACCTGACCTCTGCTCTCCGGACCCCTGGATCTCACCGCTCCCTCGGCTTTTGCCTCCTACACGATGCCCCCACCTGCCCCTGGACACCTGTCCTTCCCTCCTAGTTTCTCTGTTGGGTCACTTGACTTCTACTCTCAGCTTGTCAGCACCTCATTGGGTATCCCAATAAACTCACCTCAGCACCTGATGGCTTCCTTCATCTGATTCCATGGGGAGGGGTGCGGACATGTGGTTTTCACCAGACATTGGTCCCCTCCAGCCTGGGCTTCCTCTGGCTGGTCTCCTGCAGAGAGTCCTGGTCTAAGGAGTGTCAGGCCCAGGGGCCATTCCACCCTCTGTCCAATCAGAAACACCTGGGGCTCCTTGCAGCACAGACTGTGGGCTGGGGCCTCCCCTGTGACCACCCACAGGGCTGCACAGTGAGCAGAGACCTGAAGGAGGGAGGGCGGGAGGGGCTGCTCCAGCCCTGATAGAGTCAGAGGGACTGGGTGACCTTCCCGCCAGGGCCTCACCAAACCATTAGCCAAATCGTGGGGCCATGGTGTTCAGATGGTGGACTTGAGGATCACAGACCAGGGCCCCTGAGAGAGGGCACACACATAGTGAGCCTCACAATCGGTCCCACTCACCCCTGTGAGAACATTTCCAGACTCTTATGGGAAACCCAAGCGCTCCATGCACCCCTGAGTCAGAGGCGGCCCTGGGCGATGGGCAGCCCCAGGCAGCTAGTGTTTATGGCCAGAGTGCCAGAGAGGGGGATCTGCCCTGAGGAACGCTTGGTCCTCAGAGGGTCTCCTTCAAGTGTCAACGAAGTAATGATCAGCAACCCCTGAGAGTCTGGGATTGGGGAAATGCATACAATTCGAGGGCTGATCCCAGAATCAAACACACTCAAAGCAGAGCCTGTTCCCGCCTGCCAGTCAGAACATGGTCCTGGTTCTCAGGACATCGGGGAGACCACTCAGAGGGCATTGCCTCCGCTGTGGGTAAAATTAGCCCCAGTGGTTCAGTCCTACCTGACAAAGCTGAGAGCAAATTTAAAAATGTTTTAATTTAATTTATTTTTTTTAAGAGAGGAAGAGAGAGGGATAGAGTTAGAAACATCGATGAGAGAGAATCATCCATCAGCTGTCTCTTGCACACCCCCTACTGGTGTTGTTCCCACAACTAAGTAAGGTTCATGCCCATGACCGGAATTGAATCTGGGACCTTCCAGTCCCCAAGCCAATGCTCTATCCACTGAGCCAAACCGGTTTCAGCTGAGAGCAAACTTTAAAGAATGAGCCATTCCCAAGAATTTTTAGGATTTTCTACATTTAATAAGATAGCGCCTATGAACACAGATAATTTTATTGAATCGGCAACTAAGTAATTGCGGATTTAAATCGACAATTTTTTCATGGAACTAAATAACTTTATTCTGTAATGTATTGCCCATTTTGATCAATGACCTTTTGCCATCTTTCAGGCAGCATCATAATCCCACGTTCAAAAAACTTCTGGTTTTTATTAGCAAAAAACTGAATCAGGTACGATTTGACATCATCATCATTATTGAAATTTTTACCATTCAAGGAGTTTTGTAAAGATCGAAACAAAAAGTAATCAGATGGTGCAAGGTCAGGACTATATGGTGGATGTGGCAAAACATCCCAACCAAGCTCCATTAATTTTTGCCGAGTGACCAAAGATGTGTGTGGCCTTGCATTGTCATGATGGAATACAACACCTTTTCGATTTGTCAATTCGGGCCGCTTTTCTTCAACTGCATTGTTTAATTTCATTAGTTGTTCAATGTAGACATCAGACATCAGAATTGATCGTTCGGTTGGGTGGTAAGAGTTCAAAGTAGACAATTCCTTTGTAATCCCACCAAACTGATAACAAAACCTTCTTTTGATGAATATCAGCTTTTGATGTTGTTTGAGTTGGTTCACCTGGCCTGCTCCACGATCTTTTCCACTTGATATTGTTGTAAACAACCCATTTTTCATCGCCAGTTATCAGTCGTTTTAAAAATGGATCATTTTCATTATGTTTCTTTAGCAAATCGCAGCTGCTAATGCGTTGCGTTAACTGTGATTCTTTCAGTTCGTGAGGAACCCATGTATCGAGTTTTTTTAACATAGCCAAGTTGTTTTAAGTGATTTTCAATGCATGTATGTGATACATGAAGCTTCTCTGCAATCTCACGTGTTGTACTGTGACAGTCCAAATTGATTATTGCTTTGATTAGGGCGTCATCAACTTCAACTGGACGACCAGAGCGTTTTTCATCTTTGAGTGAAAAATCACCAGAACGAAATTTGGCAAACCAATTTTGACACTGCTGTTCTTTTAAGGCTTTGTCACCATAAACAGCACATAACTTTTTATGAGCTTGCGATGTGTTTTTCCCTTTGCGGAAATAAAAAAGCAAAATATGACGAAAATGTTCCTTTTGATTTTCCATTTTTCAACGAACGCCAAACGAAAACTACAAAACAGATCAAAAAACTTTTTTTTACTGATTAACAGCTGAATAGCCAACTATCAAATAACAAAATGTGTTTTACATTTGTACTACGTCTGCAAACCTAAAAATTCAACTGAAGCCATATATGTGTGAAACCCGCAATTACTTAGTTGCCGAACCAATACTTCTTTCCAGTTTTCATGCCTTTATTTCTTTCACTGTCTATCTGCTTTCCCAGAGGTTCCAGTGCTTTGGAGAACAGAGGTGGCAAAAGTGGACCTCCTTATCTTGTCCTTGATCTTAGAGGAAAAGCTTCCAGTCTTTCTAAATTGAGTATGATGTTTGCTGTACATATTCATGTTTTTATTCACATATATTTATATATATGCTGCTTCCTTCATTCCTAGTTTGTTGAGTATTTTTATCATGAAAGGGTGTTGAATTTTGTCAAATGTAGGGGGGAGGGGAGGTTGCATCCATTGAGACAGTCATGTATTTCCCCCCCCTCATTCTGTTTATGTTGTCTATTACACTGATCATCTATCATATGTAAAACCATCCTTGCATTTCAGCAACAGATCTCTCTTGACCAAGGTGTATAAATCTCTTAATTTCCTGCTGAATTTGGTGTGTTAGTAATTTGTAGAGGGTTTTTGCATCAATGTTCATAAGGGATGTTGACCTTTTCTTTTCCTGTAGTGTCTTTTTGTCTGGCGCTGGTATCAGAGTAACACTGGCCTCAGAGAATTGGTTAGGGAGAGTGCCCTCTGAGGTTTGCAGTGACCTAGGAATGAACAAAAAATCCTTAGCTTGATATAAGGCATCTGGGAAAATATCACAGCCAACACCACCTCTCATTGGAAAGACCACTTTTCCCTGAGACCAGGAACAAGACACCAATGTCCTCTTCTACCTATCAGCCTCACACTGAGGGTCTGACCCAGACCAGAGGCAGAAGTAAAAGGCATGCACATGGGAAACGCAGAAATGAAATTGTCTCTGTTCACAGAGGACATGATTAGAACACCCCCAGAATCTACATAGAACACCCCCAGAATCTACAAAAGGTCTCCTGGAAATATCGGAGTTTGGCAAGGTTGAAGAATGCAGACTTAAAATAGTAGAAATTGACCGGTTTGGCTCAATGGATAGAGCGTCGGCTTGGGGACTGAAGGGACCCGGGTTCGATTCCGGTCAAGGGCATGTACCTTAGTTGCGGGCATATCCCCAGTAGGGGGTGTGCAAGAGGCAGCTGATCGATGACTCTCTCTCATCGATGTTTCTAGCTCTCTATCTCTCTCCCTTCCTCTCTGTACAAAGTCAATAAAATATATATTTAAAAAAAAAATAGTAGAAATTAATTGTAGTTCTATATAGGGATGGGCAAAGGTAGATTTATAGTTATGAATACGTGACACAGCTTATTCTTGGTTATTATTTGTTTGTTGATAATTATATTGTTTATTTGTATTACTTGTCTCAATATTATTGTTATTATTTTGTATCCTTACCTATGACATATATTTTAGGTAATGATGGCTGGTAATTTAACCTACTGGTGCCCTCCTCTATATAATATTAATAAACAATTGGATTTCAAACCTTTTGTTTAAAAGTATGACTTAGAACAAAATAAAAAAAAGAAAACCAGCATAAATTTTACATAATAAAAACTATAAAAACGCAGATGAAATAAATCAAGGAAAACATGAATAAATGGAGAATAAGACCATCTTCATGGATGGAGACATTGTGATGTCAGTTTCCTTCACATTGCTCTGTAGGTTCAAAGCAATCCCAGTAAAAATTGCAACAGGATGTTTTTTGTTATCAATAAGCTGAATCTAAACTTATTTGGAAAACAAAGGAGCTTAAATAGCCAAAGCTATTGTCATTCTTGCTGTTTGAGACCCTTGTCTGTCTACCTTCCCCTTTGCTGCGTTCCTCAGTGGCTGGTGCCCCTCCTCAGCCGCATGGGTGTGGGGGTGTCCCGCAGTGATGAGCAGTGGTGCCCCAATTCCAGCCCCGATGCCCTGTCTCTCACTCAGGAGAACAGCTGGCAGGGGAGTGTGGCAGGGCAGGTGGAGCAGCCAGGGCTCCACCACTCCAGATGTTTCCGGGGTGTTTGCTTAGGACACACACACGGGGCAAGGTCAGCCCGCTCTTCAACAGTGACAGACATTCACAAGCTGCTAGCAGCCTCTTTCCTGGAAATAAAGCAGGAGAAATAAGGACTCCCAGGACTCAGCTCAAAATATCAACAAGGAAAGGGGGCGTGGGGTGCCTCCTGCTTGGAAAACAAACACCCAGGAGGGTATAAAAGCCAACAGCCCTGGGCACCTTACACACTCACACTCACTCACACACTCACACATTCACACCCTCACACCCTCCTCCAGCCCCATTGCCCCGCCATGGCCGCCTCCGCCCTGTCCGTCTGCTCCAGCAACCTGAGCTATGGCAACCGCGCCTGCCTGCCCGGGTCCAGTGACTCCTGCACCGACTCCTCCTGGCAGGCGGACGACTGTCCAGAGAGCTGCTGTGAGCCCTCCTGCTGCCAGCCCACCTGCTGTGTCCCCAGCTGCTGCCAGCCCACCTGCTGTGTCCCCAGCTGCTGCCAGCCTTCCTGCTGCACCCCCAGCTGCTGTGCCCTGGTCCCCACCCAGACCCTCATCTGCACCCCAGTGAGCTGCATGTCCAACCCCTGCCAATCAACCTGCACCAGCTCCTGCACTAGCTCCTGCACGCCCTCGTGCTGCCAGCAGTCTAGCTGCCAGCAGGCCTGCTGTGTGCCCGCCTGCTGCACACCGGTCTGCTGTAAGCCCCTGTGCTGTGTGCCCGTCTGCTCTGGGGCCTCCTCATGCTGCCAGCCCACCTCCTGCACCTCATCCTGCTGCAGACCCTCCTCCTGCATGTCCCTCATCTGCCGCCCCGTGTGCAGGCCTGCCTGCTGTGTGCCCACCTCCTCCTGCTGTGGCACCACCTCCTCCTGCCAGCCCAGCTGCTGTCGCCCGACCTCCTGCATGTCCCTGCTCTGCCGCCCCGTGTGCTCCCGCCCGTCCTGCTGTGTCCCCACCTCGGCTCAGATGTCCTGCTGCTGAGCAGTCATGTCCCCCAGGGCCAGCCGGGCTCAGGTCTCACCCTGTGACCGTGGTCCTCCCAGCCACCCCTCAGTCTGGCCCTCAGCAGTGTCAGGTGGCTGCCCCCAATCAGAATGGGGTCCCCGGTCTCCACTGTTCTGAGCTGACCTCTGCTCCCAGGAGCCCTAAACCTCAGTCTCCTGCCTCCCAGGAAGAGCCTCCACCTGCCCTGGTCTCCTGCCATTCACTCCCAATTTCTTGTTCCACCACCTGACCTGCACTTTGACCTGTCAGCACCTCCTTTTGCACCCCAATAAACTCGCTTCACTGCCTGAGTGCTTCCTCCATCTGATTTCGTTGCCATGGTGGCAGTGGTGAGAAACGGGGTTCTCAGCAGACTTGGGTCTCCTCCAGCCACAAGTACTTCTAGGAATGAGTGACTGAGCGATCACAACGCCTATGTCCTCTGGGCGGGCCTCTCACTCCGACCCAGGAAGGTCAGTGGAGGAGTGGCCGGAGGCCATGGGACCCAATCTGAGCCCATGGATTTTGCTGATTAGGCATTAAAATAATTATGAGGCACGTGGAGGCTTTGAACTTCCTTAGAATAATGGTTGCTTGGAACTTGGGTCGCAGTGTTGCATGGGCGAAGACTTGTAAAGAATGGCACTGTCATTGTCGTCCAGGTGTCATCACTTTCAAGTCTTTACTCTTTCCACCGTGTTAGGTGAGGAATTTAGAGACTCCAAGTTGCAATGGCTTATAGGCATGTATACATGTGTCTGTGCAGCTCGAGTGGCTGGAGTGGCTGGGGTTTGGGGGTCACATTGTGTTTGAAGTCACCATTGTGGAGGGGGTGTGGTTTTTAAATTGTGGTAAAACACTCATCACCTGAAGCTTACCTTTATTTTTATTGTTTAAAGTATTACATATAGTAATACATATATCTCCTTTTTCCCCCTGTTGACCTTCCCCCAGCCTTCTCTATCCCCTGTCGCATGCCTTCATACCATCCCCCATGTCTTGTGTCCATTGGTGTGCATACATGTCCTTCGGTTGATCTCTTTCTCCCCATCCCCAACACTCCCAAGCCGTCCCGCTGTAATTTGACAGTCTGTTCAGTGCTTTACTGCCTCTGTATCCATCTTTTTGTTCATCAGGTTATAATGTTCTTCATTTTCCATAAATGAGTGAGATCATGTGGTATTTTTCTTTCATTGCCTGGCTTATTTCACTTAGCATAATGCTCTGCGGTTCCACCCAGGCTGCTGCAAATGGTAGGAGTTCCTTCCTTTTGACAGAAGCATAGTTTTCCATTATGTAGATGTACCACAATTTTCTAATCCACTCATCTGCTGATGGGCATTTAGGCAGTTTCCAAATCTTGGCGGTGGTGAAAGGTGCTGCTATGAAGCTTACTGTTTTAATCATCTTTACGAGTACGGCTCAATGGCATGGCGCACAGTCACACTGGTGCGCAGCCATAACCACCCTCCATCTCAGGACTTTCTCATCTTCCCAGGATGACTCTGTTCCCATTAAACACTGGCTCCTGCCCCGGCCCCCGGCCCCCGGCGCCCACCTCTGCACTCGGTGTCGGTGGAAGCCACGGCTCCAGGGACTCCGTGTTAGTGAGATCCTGCAGCCTCTGTCCCTTCGTGACTGCTTGTTTCACTCAGCGCAATGTCCTCGGGGTTTATCCCTGCCGATGCTGGACCTTCCTCCTTACGGCTGAGATGCTCCATTCGGTGGCTGGACCCCATTACCTATGCTCATCCCTTCATCCGCCAGTGGGCAGCTGGGTTGCTCCTACATGGGTCATGCTCTTGTGAGTTACGCTGCAGGGAGCACCGATGTCCGTGTGTCTCTCTGAGACCCTGCTGGCAGTTACAGCAGGGGGAATATTGGATCATACAGTAGCTCCGTTTGTAATTTGTGGAGGAAACGCCACCCTGTTTTTCATAGGGGCTGCAGCATTTTACTTTCCCACCCGCAGTGCACCGGGCTCACATGCTCCAAGTCCTCACCAGCACGCTGCTTCCCGTGTTCCTGACCCTGGCATGGCCATGGGTGTGAGCAGTGCTCCTGGCTCTATCACACACAGGGCCCTGCGCTGAGAGCCCGGCCCTCACCTACCCACCTTCACCTCCCACCCTCCCCGGCCCTGCCCACACCGGCCTGCACTCACCAGCCGCCCTCTCTTGCAGAAGAACGAGTACCTGTTCACGGTGGTGGCTGAGGGCCCCGACGCGCTGCTGCTGGGCCTGCGGTACTCGCCCACCCGGTTGCACTTCCTCTTCCTCAGCCAGGACGCGGCGGGCGCCTGGCAGACCCGCGTGTCCTTCCGCAGCCCCGCCCTGATGGACAGCCAGTGGCACACGCTGGTCCTGGCCGTGTCTGAAGACTCCTTCTCCCTCACCACGGACTGCGGCGTCCCCGTGGACATGTAGGTACCGGGACGATGGGGAGGGTCTCCTGGTGCTGAGGGCTGCCCGACACACAGTCCAGAGTGGACATCCGGGGGCAGCTCGAGTTTGCAGGGTGGGCCGGAGGGGTCTGGCTTGTGGGGGAGCCCTGGCGGCAGGAGTGCCTGGGTCACCAGCAGGCGGACAGCACACCTGCCTCCAGAGAGGGCATGGGGGAGCCGGACAAGGCAGGCACCAGTCTGAGAGTGGCGGGCGATGGGGGCTGGCCCTGGGGGGGGGCTGGCCCTGGGCGGGGGCTGGCCCTGGGCAGGGGCTGAAGTGTGAGTCCAGGCTGAGCTTGCCCGGGTATATGCCCTGCAGGGCGCTGTCACCATGACGAAAGGGCCACAGATGCGGAGTATAAGGAACTTGGGCACCAGAGCCAAGCGGAAGCTGTGACCCGGCTCGAGGCCCAGGTCTTGCTGTGTGATTTTCAACACATCATTTAACCTCCCTGACTCAGTTTCCTCATGTGAAATAAGGGAATAAATATTCATTAAGACTCCAGATAAACACGCGGAGGAATCCTGAGTAACTCTGACACAGCCCTGGGCACGGGGAAGCCCGAGTTCGTGTCTGTCCTTGCCAGCACCTCGTTTGGGGCCAAGGACAGCGAGTCCCCGCGGCCTGGCCAGCTGCTGGCCCATGGGCCTCCGCATCTGTCCTTGCTGAGCGGGGCTGGAGACATGTGCATGTCGAGTGGTCCAGCTTACTTTATACCAAATAGTACTTTCAGAGGTAGAATCTTACTCTGCTTGGTTATTACGAAACTTGTTCCACAATCAAAAGAATCCATGCCATGTATACACGTGGTCTAAACCAAGTGTCTTATTCACCACCACCCTACCCTCCATCCCCACCACCATGCTCTCAACTACACCAGAGCCCTTATAGGACCATGGCTGCTCACGGCCGAGCGCCAGAGCTGACACCATGTGGGGAGGATGCAGAAGGCCAAGCCGGATGGGGAACCGGGGCTGCAGCCATGGTGGCCATGGGAAATTTCAGGCCCCGGGCTTCACAGGCCAGCACTCAGGCCACCTGGGAGTTGTGCGGACACTGGGCTGATTTCACCATGGCCAGCCACAGCCAGATGGCAAAGACTGGGAGGAGCAGAGGACCTGGCACCAGGTCTGGGAGACGCTGGGCAGTGAGGAGAGAGCCTGCACCTGGCTTTCCAGTCCCGGGAGCTCCAGCCACATGGTCCTCTCCCACAGGGTGCCCGCCTCCTCACCTTTCCCCAGAGTTTGCCCTCCCCCTGCTTGCACATCAAGACCCAACTCCAGCCACATTTTCCAACATCCTCAAGTCACCAAAAGAGGAAACCCCATTCTTCCCTGACACCATCTGTCCCCCCACCCCCAGGGCTCAGTGGAGGGTGAACGGGCTGGAAACCCCGTGCCCGTAGGAGCCACTGGGTGTTCCGTGAAAGGGCGAGGGACTCGTGGCAGCACACGCTTTTGCAAGAGGTGCCCATCCTGGGGTGGAGGGGGCCGCCCTAATTCATGTCCCACAGAGCCCGGGACCCTATTGAGAGCAGGTGTGATCCGGCTCAGGGGAGGTCACACTGGAGAGGGTGGGTCCTGACCCAGTGACCCGAGTCCTCCTGAGAGGAGAAGAGGCTCAGGGGAGGAGCCATGTGATGGTGAGCGCAGGGAGTAAGCGATGCAGCCACAGCCAGGAGCCCCAGGAGCCCCCAGGAGCAGGAAGAGACAGGAAGGACCCCTGTGGAGCTAAATGTTGGACTTCTGGCCTCAGAACTGGGAGGGAATGGACGTCTGTGGTTGAAGCCGCCCAGCCTGTGGTCCTTGGTTACCATCACCCAGGACCCTGGCACATCCTGCATGGGGCACTGCTCTGTCCTTCTCTACACAAAGGCCTGCACTGCTCTCTCCCACGGCTAAAACCCTCACCCGCTGTTTTTAGAACTGCCGATGTGCCCTTCCCAGCCACCCTATCGGTGCAAGGAGCCAGGTTCTTCATCGGCAGCCGGAGGAGGGCCAAAGGCCTGTTCACGGTGAGTGTGGTCCCGCCGCCTGCCTGGCCTCCCCACGCCGCTGTTCGCAGAGGGACTGTCACCGTGGGCCTGCTGTCCCGATGCTCTGGCTCCATAGATTGTCGTCTGTCAGACAGGAATGAGGAACACGAGGCTCCGTGGAGTCCCACACACACCGGGCACACCTGACACTTTGCACTCCCCTTGTTCCTTCTTCCTGGCCCATCTGGCCCTCTTTCGGCCCACACGTCCCCTTTACTGCCCACCTGCCCCCTTTACCGCCCACATGTCCCCCCTTACGGCCCACATGTCCCCCCTTACCGCCCACATGTCCCCTTTACCGCCCACATGTCCCCATTACCGCCCACCTGTCCCCTTTACTGCCCACACTTCCCCTTTACTGCCCACATGTCCCCTTTACTGCCCACACTTCCCCTTTACTGCCCACACTTCCCCTTTACTGCCCACACTTCCCCTTTACTGCCCACATGTCCCCTTTACTGCCCACACTTCCCCTTTACTGCCCACCTGTCCCCTTTACTGCCCACATGTCCCCTTTACTGCCCACACTTCCCCTTTACTGCCCACCTGTCCCCTTTACTGCCCACATGTCCCCTCCCAGATCCAACCCCTGGCTCTTCATTGTAGACCACCTTCAGACCAGCTGTGGGGTTTTTGCTCATTGTCTGTCTCTCTCCTAGCGTGGAGGTAGGGGAGCCTTGTTCCCTGTGTGTCATGTGTCTAGAACCATGCCTGATGTATAGCAGGTGCTCTGAGAATATTCACTGATGGCATGCTTGGATGAATGGATGGATGGATGGATGGATGGATAGATAGACAAATGGATGGATGGATGGAAGAATGGATGGATGGGTGGTTGGTTGGATGGATGGATGGATGGATGGTTGGCTGGATGGTGTATGGATAGATAGACAAATGAATGGATGGGTGGATGGATGGATGAATGGATGGATGATCAATAAGCAATGTTGGCCAGTAACTCTATATTCATCCACAGGAAAGTCCCTTTGTGGTTTATGACCTTAGAAGGGTGCCTAGTTCTCCACTGATGCTCCCAATGCCCCCATAACCTATGCAGACTCTTCCCTCCTAGCTCTAGAGATGGCTAGCCCCCAACGGCATTTCCACCGTCTCCCAGGGTCTGAACACACTGTCCCTCTCTCCGCAGGGCCTGGTCAGGCAGCTGGTCCTGCTGCCCGGCTCCGACGCCACTCCCAGGCTGTGTCCCTGCAGGAATGCGGAGCTCGTGCTGTCCATCCCCCCAATCCTGCAGGGTCTCACAGGGAAGCCGGAGGATAATGAGGTGCTAAAGTATCCCTATGGTCAGTAAGCCAGAGCCACCTGCTCCCACTAGAAGTCCGCTTCCTCTGGAGCCTCCGACTTCCACCTGCTGCCTGTTTGTCCCCAGAGCAGCGATGGGGGCCCTTTCTCCTCATCCCTCCCTGATAGACACCTCACCTCAGCCCCTGCCCCAGTGGGGGCCCCGCCTTCACAAGATACATTTCTGTTTTCCATGAACCCCCTGCCGAGAGGGTCCCCAGCTTCACTTTTTTAATTTCTGTTTGCATCTTCCCAATCTAAAGGTACGAGGTTGAGTATTTATTATTTTTTAAAAATACCGGTATGTTTTTATTTATTTAAGAGAGAGGGAGGGAGAGGGAGAGAATGATAGAAGCATCAATGATGCGAGAGAACCACTAATTGGCTGCCTCCTGCATGCCCTACACTGGGGATCAAGTCTGCAAGTCGGGCATGTGGCCTGACCAGGAATGGAACCATGACCTCCTGGCTCATAGGTCAATGCTCGGCCACTGAGCCACGGTGGCAGGGCTGTTGACAATTTATGTAAACCACAGCTCCTGCCAGGGAGAATCCAACCCCCTCACCCACCCACCTAACCCCCCACTATTCAGCGAGGAGGGAGGACAACCTAGCCCTCTCCCCAGCTTCACTGGGCACCCCCCCCCTCCCGACCTGGAGCGGGTGACACTGAGAGCCAGTCCCGAAACTTTGTTTTCAAGCCCCTCGGCCGGAGGCCTCTGGGCATCTTCCTGGGGCGACATGGACCGCTGTAACAAAAGGGGTCCTCAGTGGGCAGGACTCGGCCCCCAGGCCTTCCCGCAGGCATGCTCAGTGTCACGGCCTGGCCTCGGGCCTGGGTCTCAGGGCAGGTATCACTTTGAAGTGGCCAAGTAGCGCCATTAGGACGTGTGTGTGTTAGACCTGAGATGGAGGCGTCATTCCAAGAAGACATGGGCTCAGATGCCACAAAACGAAGCAAAACGGAAGTTTAGATAAACTCATGCCCATTGGGTACAGATGTGGGAGGATTTTCAGAAGAGCAGGAGGCCTGGGGGGGAGGTGGACATGCTGCTCTGGAGCCACTGGGAGCTTTACTATGTCCCGCCATGTAGATGCCCTGGGGCCGGCCACACGCCCTGGTCTTTCTGCCTCCTGGGACCCGTTTAAGAGCCTGAGTGGGTCCTGGGAGCCCAGCTTCAGAGACAAGGGTGGGACTGCCTCCTGCAGGGAGTTCGTGTCCACTGGACACTCACCAGGCACCTCCCTGTCTCTCCCCCAGAAACCGACATGAAGGTGACGCTGGGATCCCGGCCTCCGTGCACCAAAGTGGAGGATGCCCAGTTCTGGTTTGACGCCGGGCAGAAGGGGCTGTACCTGTGCGTGGGCAGCGAGTGGGTCTCCGTGCTGGCAGGTGCGGTGGACAGGGAGGGCGCGGCTCCCGCGGCTCTGGAGACTTAGGGGCTCTGCTCAGAGTCCGCGTTCTCTGAGAACAGGAGGCATCCCCACCCAGAGCAGCAAGCCCCCACGTTTCCTCTGGAACCATGGGCCCTCCTGGGCACCACAGACGGGCTGGCAGGGCTCGCCACCTCCCCTCGACCCTGCCCAGGAAGAGCTCGGGACTCCCCGGAGCCAGCCTCTCTGTGGGGCCCTGCCCACCCTCCCTCCTCATACCCTGCCTGTGCTCAGATCATAGATTCAACAGAACGATGCCAGGAACCCGAGGGCATCATTGCCGCAGCAAGCTTTGTGGCGATCCATTCCTTTCCTTTTTTTAATTCTCACCCAAGGATATTTTTTCCACTGATTTTTTTTAGAGAGTGGAGGGAAGTGAGGGGGCTGGGGGTGGAGAGAGAGAAGCATCCATGTGAGAGAGACACATCAACAGGTTGCCCTCCATTCACATCCAGACCAGGGCCAGGGATTGAGCCTGCAACCGAGCTATGTGCCATTGACTGGGAATAGAGCCTGAGATCCTTCAGTTCATGGGCTGACGTCTACCCACTGAGCAAGCCATCCAGGGCTCCATTCCTGGCGTGGGAAGGGGGAGTGAGGTAGCCCTGAGTGTTCACAGCAAAAGGGGACCAGCTCCAGCTGGACTGCTCTCAAGCTCCTGGGTCACCTTAGGGCAGTGGAGTGCAAACTGCAGCTTGCAAGCCACATGCGGCTCTTTGGCCCCTTGAGTGAGGCTCTTCCACAAAATACCACGTGCGGGCATATCTACAGTGTGATTGAAACTTCGTGGCCCATGCACAGAAGTCGGTTTTCGGCCTGGGCGAGTCTGTTTGGAAGAAGTGGTTCTAACGGCAAGCCACACTCAAGGGGCCAAAGAGCTGCATGTGGCTCTCCAGCTGCAGTTTGCCGACCACTGCCTTAGGGTATAGCCTTTTGTAGCCGCAGTGAGCATGGGGGATGTCTCATAAGACCCAACACATTGGGGTTTAGTGACCTTAGAAAGTGAGTACCATTGGGGCTCGCCAGATCCTGAAACCCACACAAGCTGAGAGGGCTTCCCAGCAGGCCTCTGGCAGTGACCAGGTGCTCTGAGCAAACTGCCCTTGCCCCACGCTAATGCCCCCGGGGTCAGGGGTCAGGGGTCAGGGCCCGAGGTCATGCTCTCAGGATGGTGCCTCCAGGCTTCTGTGCTGGGACACGGCAACCATGAACCGCGTCTCCCTGTCTCTCTCCCCAGCCAAGGAGAGGCTGGACTATGTGGAGGAGCACCAGCGCCTCTTCACGCACTCGGAGACGCTGGGCATCGAGGTCTTCGCCATCCCCGAGGCCGGGCTCTTCATCGCCACCGCCAACCGCAAGGCCACGTCCGCCATCTACAAGTGGACGGACGGGGCGTTCGCCTCGTACCAGAGCATCCGCACGCACCAGGCGCAGTCCTGGAGGCACTTCACCATCGGGAAGAAGGCGAGTCGTGGCTCTGCGTCCCTTCTGAGCTGGAGTCACCCACAGAGTCCGGCGGGTGGGCTCCTGACACGCTTCTCCAGGAAAACGTGTTTCTCGTGGCTCCAAAGCCTTTGTCGGGTTCACACGGCTTCCCTGGGCAGACACTTGGCTGCGTCTCTGCACCCAGGCGGGGCCTTGAGAAAGTCTGTTCGGCTCCCGACACACTAGGAAAGGCCATTTGCTAAGATGCCGCCCAGGTAGGGTGCAGACTATCTTAGACACCTGTGGGGGTCGTTTGACTTGGTCCCGTCCACCAGGCAGAAGTCATGAGAGAATGCAACTGATTCACTCGCCTGATCCTGCCTTCCCCCACTCCCCCATACAGGCCCCAGAGGCAGAAACCCTCGAGGGCAGCCCCTCGCCCCCCCCATTCCACCGAGCGGGCCTGTGGGTGGAGGGTCTGAGAGGACCCCCATTCCCTTCCAGATGAATTTTCTCCCAGCTCCTCCTCCGTCCTCCCTTCGAAACAACAGTGTCTTGGGGTCACCTTCCCATGCCTGTCCCTCAATCATTCACTCACCTACACACGTGCTGGGCCCAGCCCTGCCCCCACCTGGACCCTCCCACTGGGGCGGAGCCATGAGCAAGCAGACAAGCCCCTGCCCTCCGGTGGCTGGCTGCCCGCCATGGTTCTGGCACCCGGTCCAACACAGTGAATGAATGACTCCCTCTCCAGTTATTTGGTTAATGATGTTTTAAAGGTGCTTATGTTTTGATTATCAAAGTTTTACATAAAAGAAAAGTAGGGAAATTTGGGAAAACAAGGGGGAGAGCCTCTTCAGGTTGCTCGAGCAGACGCAGGACTTACCTGGGCATTCTGGCGCCTGTTACAGCCACATAAGTGCATGGTCATGCCCGCTGGCCATGTCACATGTAGTGGGGTTTCTGTGTCCTACTCGGCTGCGTGGCAAACACCGCTTTCTCGGGGAGAGTAGGAATTACGATCTTTCCTACTCCCACGGGTGATGAGGAACACTTTTGTGATGAAGCTTTTCCTGGGGTTGGGAGGTAGACATGGCAGTAAGGGTCTGGCGAATACGGGCACATAGAAGGGTCTGGAGGCAGACAGGCTCCCAGGCCGCCGAGGCCCTCAGTAACGGGGAGGGGGGGGGGCGGGGAGCTCAGCCTCTGTCCCTGCACCTACACACACGTGCTGGGTACAGCCCCGCCCCTCCCTCGGCCCACCCACTGGGGGTAGAACAGACAGACAAACGCCTGCCCATGCGGACAGAGGCCCTGGCTGCGGGCAGGGAGCCGAGTGTCCCGTCCTCTCTTGCAGATCTTCCTGGCTGTGGCCAACTTTGACCCCAACGAGAAGGGCCAGGAGTTCTCCGTCATCTACAAGTGGAGCCCGAGAAAGCTGCGGTTCACGCCCTACCAGAGGGTGGCCACCCACAGCGCCCGGGACTGGGAGGCCTTCGAGGTGGCCGGGGAGCACTTCCTGGCCGTGGCCAACCACAGGGAAGGTAGGGCTGTGGCCTGCGACCTGGACGTGACCCTCCCAGGGCCGGGCAGGACTCCCTGCAAGGCTGGTCTTCATCTCACTAAAAACGATAATAAATCTCAGCAGCCCGGTTCCTCGGGCCCGGCCACCTAATGGCGGCCGCTGAGGGCGAACACACCTGAGCACCTCCCATCTGTCCAGCTGGGAAGATGGTGGTCGGTGCCTGCCCCAGGAGAGTCGCCATAGAAACGAGGGCCACCTGGCTGCCTAGCCTGCCTCATTTCAAACTAACTAGTAACTGAGTAACTGACTAACTAACTAACTCACCTCCTTCTGGGAGGAACTGACTGACATAATGGGAAGGTGACCATTCTGGTCAGCTGGGGGACGGGATGTGACCAGCTGGGGGTGTCGCTGGAAGGACATGGACCAGGTTTCCGAAAACAGGTAATCGTGTGCACACAGACCCTGTGAAACGTGGGTGTGATGGGGGACAGGCTGTGGGGGGGGCCTACAAACCTTGTTTCTGGGCCAGCATTCACCTCCACCCCTGCAACTAGTGACCTGGGCAAGCCCTTCCCCATCCTGTGACTCAGGGCTGGGCAGGTCCAAGGTGGCCTGGCCCTGCAGGGCACCTTAGCTCAGGCCTCAGGGGGCTCCATGCTCAGAGTTTCCCTGAGCCTGAGGTCCACGAGGGAGCTCTGTGGGGGCCTGAGGAGGAGCCCCGACCACCTGCTGATGGGCAGAGCGACCCCAGGGGCCCGCTCACCAAGCTCTCCATGGAAGCGAGAGGCTGGCCGGAGGGGCCCCAGGGAGCATGCGGCCTGGCCTGTGGGAGAGATGGGAGCCAAGGGGGCCCTGGGCTGTGACAGGTGAGGCTGGGGGGAGGCAGGGGGCTCCACCTCCAAGACCCTGAAGGCCATGGGGAGGGCCTGAGCCACCCAAAGGGGAGCCCCCTGAGGGTTTTCACCTGGGCGTCCTCGCTCGGGAGTGAGAGGGTGCAGGAGAGTGTGGGGCGAGCGGGCCACACCCAGAGCAGCCCAGGCCTGGCTGGGCTGGACGGGCAGCAGAGTTCCGCCGAGGTCACCGTGAGGCCCCCTCCCTCACCGCAGCCGTTGGCTTCCAGGAGACAATCACAACATCGACAGCGTCATCTACAAGTGGAACCCGCGGACGCGCCTGTTCGAGGCCAACCAGACCATCGCCACGTCCGGCGCCTACGACTGGGAGTTCTTCACGGTGGGGCCCTACTCGTTCTTGGTGGTGGCCAACGCCTTCAACGGCACATCCACCAAGGTGCACTCCCACCTGTACGTCTGGCTGGTCGGCTCCTTCCAGCTCTTCCAGTCTTTCCTGGTAAGGACCTGCCCTGCACCCGGTGCCCCCAGGCACCTGCTGATCCCACACAGGCCTGGTGATGCCTTCACCCTGATGCCTGCACCCCAGGTGCCTCCCCCCGAATAAGGCTCAGGTCATGTTGCACATGGCAGCCTCTGTTAGCCCCCAAAAGAGCCCTGGGCGCCCTATCCGGAGAGGAAGGGTGCACTGGCTCGGCTGTCCCTCTGTCATGAAGGTGTCTGGGCTGCACCGGGTGCTCAGACAAGCCTCCTGGCCCCTCTGCCTGGCCACCTCTGGGTGCCAGGCTCCTGCCCTGGGGCACCTGGGCAGCTGACCTCTGACCTGGCCACATGCGGTGGGTGGGGGCAGCACTCTCCACACTCCCTCAGACCTCGCTGTCCCTCAGCTGGTCCCAGTCGCCATGGGCAGGCTGGCAGGACCCGTGAGCAGGGCTGCAGACGTATTTATGAGGGTGGGACAGCATCAGACACCTTGCGGACCTCACGTGTCCCAGGCGGCTGTGACGTGGACCGTAACAGGAGCACAGGGGCAGGGCGGGGCGTGTGTGTGCCCATTGAGAGTCAGGAGCTGCGGCCACAGTGAGGTAGGTGGCAGCACCGTCTGGAAGCTGCGGAGGCTTCCGAAGCCCAGCCAGGAAGCCGAACTCACGAGCGCTTTGCCTGGACAGTGCGGCCGGGAAGAGCCAGCATGACTCCAAGGTTAACACTCAGGGTGCTGCTTCCCAAGTGGGGTGGGGGGGTTTGTAGGGCTATGGTGTGGCATTATTCTTTTTCTTTTTCTTATTTTTTATTTTTTAAATATATTCTTATAGATTTCGGGGAGGAGGGGAGAGGGAGAGAGACAGAAACATCAATGATGAGAGAGAATCACTGATCGACTGCTTCCTGCACGTCCCCTTCTGGGGGTCAAGCCTGCAATGTGCCCTGACCTTCTGGTCCATAGGTTGGCACTCAACCACTGAGCCACACTGGCAGGGCCTAGGGGTTATTCCTGAGCAGTGACTGACTGCGGTCCAGGCTTGCTGAGCAGGGGCCTCAGAAAGCTCCGTGCCAATAGCTTAACCTACTTCTTCCCACGCACAGCTGCCCTGTGAGGTAACTCTTTTTAAAATACATTTTTATTGATTTCAGAGAGGAAGGGAGAGGGAGAGAGAAGCATTTGTGATGAGAGAAGAATCACTGATCGGCTGCCTCCTGCATGCCCCACACTGGGGATCAAGCCCGCAACCCAGGCCTGTGCCCCGACCAGGAGTCGAACCATGGCCTCCTGGTTCATAGGCTGATACTCAGCCACTGAGCCACGCTGGCTGGGCTGTGCAGTAACTTCTGCCACCAGTCCCCTCTTCTCACAGGAAACTGAGGCTCGGGGGTTTACGGACTTGCTCTGGTCAGAGCCGGGATTGGAGCCCAGCTGTGGTGCCGTGGCTTCATTCAGCGTGGGGCAGGGTCTTTCTCGAATGCGGCATAGCTCGTTGCTGGGGTGCCTAAGCACGTGGAGACTCGGGGACACATCCTGGTGAGAGGAGGAGGTGCTGGGTGCGTGCTGATCGGAAAGGGCTCAGCAATGGGCTGGCAGGGTCTGCCCAGGGTGACGGGACCTATGACTGGAATTAGATCGAGGAGGTCAAAGGAGTCTGGGTTTGGGTGGGCGAGACAAGACGGCGGTGGTAGAACAGGTTCCCGAGGAGCCCGGACTAGCAGGAACCAGGTCGCAGGGAAAGAGCTGCGTGGAGGCCTGGGCAGGGGTGCAGGCGACAGGCGACGGCCATGACCAGAGCAAGGCCGTGCATGTGGAAACCCGTGGGCTCTAAGTTAATCACACGTGTCGCCGAGACCCTGTGGGTGCCTGGGAAGCAGGCGGGTTGGCAGGGCCCCGTGAGGTGCCCGCCCAGGAGGGGTGAAGGCTGTGCAGCTGCAGCTGGGCATCCTGGGAGCTTGGGGAGGTGGGCGGAGCCGGAAGGGATCTGAATCCTATGGAAGGAGGGACAATGGTAGGAGCCGGAGGAGACTTTGTTCTGGAAGAAGACTCGGATGATTGTGTCCAAGTCTCCAGCAGGTGCGCTGGGGCCGGATCCGAGCTCTGTGGTGTCCTGGGGCAGGGCCGAAGCCTGGCACAGGAGGGCAGCTCATGGCTTTGGTCCACCAGGCCAGGTCCTTGGCAGGCCCAGACCATCTGTGATGGGGGGAGGGGGAGGGCTCCTGTAGTGGGTTGGGGGTCATTTGGGAGATTGCCATCCTACGGCTACCAACACAGTGATCCTAAATCGCCTACATTTGAACAAGAAGATGCCCTACGACAAAAGGCCGATTTAGGAAGGTCTTCCTCACAGCTGGAACCCAAGGACCTCCTTGCCCACACTGGCCCGATGGCCCGGGAGCCCAGCCACCCTCGAGGGAGGCTGTCAGGGGCTCCGGGGACTCCAGGGGTCACCATCACCCCGAGAGGTGCTCCCGAGCCCCCGGGCGCCATGCCAGGGCTGGCGGGGCAGGCTCCGGGGGAATTCCGTGGGAAGGAGGAAAAAGCCCCGCCAGCCCAGCAGGTGCCTCAGGCTGGTGCAGCCCCAGGCAGCTTCAGACCTGCTTTTGGGGAGCCCAGCCTCCGGCCCAGCTGCAGGTGTTACCGCTGTGGGAAGCTCCTGGCAGACACCCTGTGGGGGTGAGGGGTCACTGACAGCAGTGACCGTGACCCAGCCAGCCCCAGGCAGGTCTCTGCTCGCCTGTGGCCAGATGAACTGCAGAGTGCCTGCTGCATTTGAATTCTAGAGCGACATGGAGTGACTTTTTAGTAAAACCATGACCTGAGTATCGCATGGAAACACAAGTCCTGGAAAACTGTTGTTTCTCTGAAATTTTCATGGTATCGGCTCCCACCAGCCGGGCGCACAGAGCCGAGGCAGGATGATGGACCCCTGAGCGACGCCCATCTGACACTCCTCCCTGCCTCCCGCCCCTCCACACCCTGGGATCTCTTCTCCCGGCCCCCATTGTTCACCTCGGGGAGAAGGGAGCCGTCTGAGTCCAGTGGCTCAGAGCCCAGGGAAGTCCTGGCCACCTGGGGGAGACCCTCTTCCAGCTCCTGGCCGCTGAACCGTGTGGGAGTGCCCGTGTGCACGCATGCATGCAGGAGTGTGTGCATAGGTGTGTGTGCACGCAGGTGTGCACACACAGGTATGTGCATTTACTCGTACACACGCATGGGCCGTTTCCCATTGACATGGTTTCCCCGGCACAGGTCAGAGGAACTGGGATCTAACAGTCTGGCATCTCCTGTTCTGTTTCTGTGAAGTCACCACCACAAGTGTGTGACTCTCGGCCCCGTGTGGGTCTGTAACTGTCGCTGTCCGTGTAACAGCCACCGGGCAGGGGAGTGTGGGGAGAGGGGTGATGCTGAAGGCCCCTGCGGCCCCCAGGGTCCCAGCCTACTCAGAAGTCATGGGGCGCCCCAGGGAAAGAATGGTGCCCCCTCCCAGAGCAGCGTGGAGGGGAGGACCCGCTGATCCAGGAAAGCTCCTGGCCCCTGGGAGGGAGCAGGGGCCGCCAGGTGTCCGGGTTCCGGTCCTTGTCCTAGTGAGTCATCCTTTGGCTTCACCTCACTTGGCTCCGCTCCTCAGGACCGATCCAGACCTGTGTGTAGAGCTGCTGGCTCCCAGCCGGGCTAGGGGCCCCCAGGAATGTTCTCAGACAGCAGCTACGTGGGCTGGGCTGAGGCGGACAATGTCGCCCTCTGCTGGACGTGAGGGGGAAACACTGTTCCCTGCCACAGTGCACTGCCGGGCTCTCCCTCTCTCACTGCTGGGCCTCTCCCTGCACCTGCCCTTTGTGCCCCAGGAAAATGACTCCTTTCGTTTCTGCCCTGCCCTCTCTCTCCTGAGTCCAGGCCTGGGCCTGGATGTGGATTTCGCTGGTCCTCTCCTCCCCATGCACCAGCGCCACCAGTAAGCCCCAGATGCTGGCTGTGAACTACACATCACTTTCCTCCTCAGGGCCCCACATGCAAATCAGCTCATGCAGCTCGGGGTCTGGGGCGAAGGCTTCACACCTGGCAACTCAGGCCACAGCCCAGCCCTGTGGACCCTGCACACCTCAGCCTCGAGGGTGGCAAGTGACTTAGGAGCAGCAGCATGCGGGGGGACCCAGAGACGGGGCTGTGGGGGGAACCTCAGGCAGGAACACAAGAGGTGCCTAGAGGTCGCTTCAGAGTTCAGGGCCATCCTGGAGCAAGCAGGGAGGGCTCCCTGGAGGAGGTGTTGTAGCAGCTAGACCTCGAAGGAAGGGCAGCATTGGGGCCTGGGGGAGTGGGTGGCACAGGTGGCTGAGAAGCAATCCCCTCCGGTGACACAGTTCAGGTACAGGTACAACTGGCACTCGTGTCTGTAAAGGGAGTGAGAGTCGATGGCTTGGGAAATGGAGTGGGACCTTGCCAGTCGAGCTCGGCGGGGTGTGTGTGTGTGTGGCGTCACTTGGCGGCTCCGCAGTCTTTGTTCATGAGCGCGGCCTGCCCCCCTCTCCCTCCCTCCCAGACATTTGGTGCCGCGGACTGGGAAGTTTTCCACATTGGAGACAGGATCTTTCTCGCTGTTGCCAACAGTCACAGCTACGACGTGGAGGCGCAGGTGCAAAACGACTCCTACGTCATCAACTCGGTCATCTACGAGCTCAACGTCACCGCGCAGACATTCGTCAAGTTCCAGGAGATCCCGACCTGCAGGTACGGCCGAGCCAGGAGCCGGCCGGGCGAGAGGGTGAGGCCGGCCGGGCACAGCACCCGGTGGGCTCACAGCGGCCTTCCCAACCGCGCTAACCACTGAGCCCACCCCGAGGAGGCTGCACGCCCGGCCTCACGCTCGGTCCCTGAAGCCACACGCGGTGGCCACCAGCACCGAAGGCGGCCTGCAGCCCGTGTAGGCGGGGCAGGGCCTGGCTCCTGCAAACCTCCTCCAGGGCCAGTCCAGGGATTCTGTGGCTCCTGTTTATAATCTTGACTCTCATTCCTTTGAAACAGTGTGGCTCGTTCTTGACACTTCAGTGGTTTGTGTTAAATTCACAGGTATGTTAAGGTGACCAGACGTCCCGCTTCTGGGTTTTTAACAATTTGTCTCCCGTCCCGCGGTGTTTTAAAAAAGATTTTTAGCTCTGGGGGAGATAAGAGATCAACTGAAGGACTTGTATACATGCATATAAGTACAACCAATGGACACAAAACTCGGGGGAGGGAGGGTATGTATGGGAGGGGGGGCAATGTTAAAATATGTACACAGATAATAATTTAATTTTTAAAAAAAGACAGTTCTATCAGTGAACTAAAATAAATAAACAAATAAATAAATAAATAAAAATAAAAAATAAAAAGATTTTTAGCAATTTGTCCCCCTCAAGAATCGGGACTTTATTAAAACGCCGCGGGACGGGGGACAAATTGTTAAAAATCGGGACTGTCCGGCCAAAAGCAGGACGTCTGGTCACCCTAGGGCACATGTGTCAAACACAAGGCCCGCGGGCCAAATCCGTCCCGCCAGGCCTTGCAATGTGGCCCGCACTGCACTGTCATCACTGCACTCCGCTGCGTTTCCATCACAATGACAGTTTATGACTGTTCAGTAAACCATTCGGCCCGCGATTTAGGCTGGATTTTAGATTTTGGCCCCTTCTCTGATTGAGTTCGACACCCCTACCTTAAGGTATGTGCAACCATCACCACAGGTGCTTTCAGAATATTCCGTGCCTGGGAGAGAAACCCCTGCCTTTAGCAGTCACCCCTCCCCCACGGCCCCCAGCCCCCGGCACCACCCGCCGGCTGCCCGTGCCCGCGGATCCCTGGGGTGGGCAATCACAGGTGTCATGCTTCCTTCCTGTGTGGCCAAAGGAGCGCATCGTACGGACAGGCCACAGTTCACCCACCCAGTTGCCCGCGGGTGCACGTGTAGGTCATTTCCACCGTTTGACTAAATGCAGCTGCGCTAATGAATAAAACACCCTCAGAGGAGAGTCAGGGTGACGGCGGTCACGCTGCCTCCAGCTGAGCAGGAAGCCACGCTGCACACCGTCTTCTCCCTGGCGGGGTGCAGGCTGTGAGCGCCTGCTGCTGGAGACTTTTCTGCGGGGCTGGGATCAGAACCCAGTTACGCCGGGAGGAACCACTCACGTGGGACGACGCCACGGCCCCTGCCCGGGGCCACACCTCTCAGGCCGATCCTCAGGGAGCAGAGCTGTGGCCAGCACTGTGATCCTGGCCAATGGGAGAAGGAAGGTGTGAGGTGCCCCAGGGTGGCCTCAGCCATCCCCGAGTGCCCCCAGGACCTCCCAGACACCCCCTCGCTCTCGGGGTCCTGCCTGAACTCCCTGCCCTAAGCCAGAGCTCTCAGTCCCCGCCGGGAGGGAACCTGCAGTGCGTCTCCACCAGACAGGGGGCCCCTCTGCTGCCCGGCCAGGCCACAGCCTGAGGCCACCAGACTCCCTGCCGGGCCTCGGCCTCTGACTGAGCAGCGTGTGGCTGCAGCCTCAGTTTCCTCACCTGTAAAGTGGGCGCAGGGCCTGCGGTCATCAGAGAGGTGGTGGTGGGACATCCTCGAGGGATGGGATTCTGGGGAGGTCCTCCAGGAAGTTACCTGTCAGAGCCCCCAGGACTGACCGAGTCTGTGCAGACTCACCCTTAGCGGACTCAGTCAGTCCTGGGGGGCTCTGACAGGTTAGAGCAGGGGTCTTCAAACTTCTCTCATTATGAGAATCACCTGGTGGAGTTGTTAAAACACAGATTCCTGGATCCCAACGATAAGAAGTGCTATCAGGAATCTGTGTTTTAACACCTCCACCAGGTGATTCTCATAATGAGAGAAGTTTGAAGACCCCTGGGTTAGAGCTTTCGGACTAAGACAGAATGCACGTGTCTGTTTGCAACGAGAAGCACAGCTCCCGAGTGCAGGGGGACCATTCCTATGCGGGCACCTTGTTGGTGTCCGGGAAGGAGCGGGAAGTGGGGCTGGAGAGGCTGTTTGGCAAGTTTCCTCACGCTCCCACCTCCAGGTACTGGGAGCGCCTAGGAATGCCCTCAGCTTAGCGCTTTCCCGATTCTATCAACCTCTTCGGAGTGAGAGACTCCGTGCCCATCTCGCACAGCACCGTTCACACTGGCAGCCCACGTGTCCGTCCACACGGCGGAATAGCATTCAGCCTTAACGGGCAGTGAAATTCCGGCAAGGCTGACCCATGGGAAAACCTAGAGGACAGCACGCTGAGTGAAATAAGCCGGACACGCAAAGACTGGAACGTTCCGGAGGTGGATGGTGGTGGTGGTTGCACAACCCTGTGAATGCGCTTATTGCCACTGAGCTGTGCACTTACAAGTGGTTAAAATGAGCTCTGCTGGAGTACTCAGCTGGTGGAGTGTCGTCCCACACACCAAAAGGTTGCCGGTTCAATTCCCAGCCAGGACACATGCCTGGGTTGCAGGTTAAATACCTAGATGGCAACCCATCAATGTTTCTCTCTCTCTCTCTCTCTCTCTCTCTCTCTCTCTCTCTCTCTCTCTCTCTCTCTCTCTCTCTCTCTCCCTCCCTCCCTCTCTCTCTCCCTCCACCCCCCAAGCACATCCTTGGGTGAGGAATTTTTTTTTATTTTAAGGGAATGACTAAACTCCCTGTGTGGCTGAGAAAAATCTCTCCCTTCAGGCCTGGCCTCCCCTCTCTGTAGGTTTGGGGTGGGACCTGGGCCCCACGTTCTGGATTAGGAGAACTGGCTGGAAACCAGCATCCAAGCTCTGGTATACCTCGGGCTTCATACCCTAATGTCCGTTTCCTAACATTGGTCCTTATTGCTGTCCCTTAACTCTGGCCCCTAGTGCTGTCCCTGACGTTGGCCCCTAATGCCTGGCCCTAATGCCGTCTCCTAACGCTGTCCCCTTGCTCCCGCAGCGCCCTGGACTGGGAGTTCTTCTCGGTGGGAGAAGATTACTTCCTGGTGGTTGCCAACTCCTTCGACGGAAACACCTTCTCCGTAAACAGTATTATTTACAGGTAAGCAGCGTGGCAAGGACTCACCCTTCTCCCCACCTGGTTCACCTGGGGTAGACTGCACTTCCTGCCAGCGACCAGGTCAGAGCCAGTCACAGGCCTGGAGCCCATGGGTGGCCGGGAGCCCCATGCCCCCAGTGCCAGCCCGGTCCCGGCCACACCCTGGGTCGGCCGGGTGACCGTGGCCATGCCGATGCTCACCTCTCTGAGTCCGGCCGGGTGCAGAGCAGACACAGGGCTCCATTCCACGTCCCCACCCAGGACGCCGGCTGGTCTCTCCACCCGGCAGGCGTCTTCGGTAACGGTTCACGTCCTCACCGGGCGCCGTGCCATCCTCGCTAAGCTCCTTTCTGGCTGCTGCTCACGTGTTGTGAGCACAGCACCTGGGTTTTCCATTCCCGTCTCCGGCTGCTTTTGGTGTCCCTCTCTGTGCCTAGCCACCCGACCGAAACACCGAACGATCGATTCTGATCGCTTTCTGGAGCAGGGACTTGTGGGAGTGCTGAGCACACAGCGGCCCCTGTGATAAAAGCAGCTTGGCCTCTTTGCTGCTCCTGTTTGCACTGCCTGCCTGGCCTTCCCAGCAGCCAGAACTGCCAGGAGCACCATGAGGCCCGGAGGGCGGCGGGCGGCCATGGTGAGCGCAGGCCAGGGTCACAGGCCGGCCCCCGAGTCCGCGTGGTCCCGCTCACGGCTCTTCCCAGGGAACCTGTTGGCGCAGTGACTCGAGAGAGGTTTCCTCGAATTCCTGGGCCCAGTGCCACTGGATGCCGTGTAATTACTTCACGTGCCAGTGGCTACCGATTGTTTCGGGATGATTTAAGCGTTTTGCATCTTTAATAGGAAATGAAATTGCTCTGTGCTTTCCGTCTGGGGCCGAACGGTTACCCAGTTTGAGGTGGAGCCTAACGTAACAGGTGCCCGCTCCCACGCCTTGGGGCTGGAGGAGTCTCAGCGATAGGATTTCGCTATTTTCTTTTCTTTTCTTTTCTTTTTTTTTTTTTTTAAATATATTTTATTGATTTTTGTACAGAGAGGAAGGGAGAGAGATAGTTAGAAACATCTATGAGAGAGAGTCATCAATCAGCTGCCTCTTGCACACCCCCTATTGGGGATATGCCTACAACCAAGGTACATGCCCTTGACAGGAATCGAACCCAGGACCCTTCAGTCCCCAAGCCGACGCTCTATCCATTGAGCCAAACCGGTTTCGGCGGATTTCGCTATTTTCTTTAGGATTAGGTTGTACCCCATTCTAAAGCCACCTGGGCCCAGGCCCTTTTCCAGTGTCCCTGGGGTCACTGGTGTCATCAGGCCTTCCGTCTCCTCTTGAGACAATTTGGTCACTCGTGTTTTACTAGAAACATCAACTTTCTTTAGGCTTTCTAATTATATATGTATTCGCTGAAGAGTGTTCAACATGACAGCATGATTTTAAAATTAATTAAATTTATTAAGACTAAATTTTCAAACATGGCCAAGAAAAATGGGATAAGAATAAAAATGGTGAAGGAGGCTCTGACAGTGTGCAAGGGAAGCAGTGTGGTTTTTGCAGAAACACATCTGTAGGGGGGTGTAATACACAACACAAGAAAGCCAAAAATTATGGCCACTTAATGTGATAAATGTGTTTCAACTCAATGCAAAAAGCACGCATTACATAGTAAAATGGTTTGTAGATCATTTTCTGTCCATCTGGAAGAAAATAAACCTCTATTCATGCTTCAGATTATTCAGAAAAAAATAAGTTTTATGAAGATTAGGCATCTAAATGTAAAAAATTAGACTATAGAAATATTAGGAAAAAGCTAAGGTGATTTTGTTATAACCACAAAGTTAGACAAGGAGACATGGAAATCTCCTTAGACAAGGCTGGAAATAGGTCCCCTGGCTGACTACACACCTTTAAAAGTTTTAAATGGAGAAAGACATCCTATTCAAAATCAAAAGGCAAACTTTACCACACTTACAACAGAAAAGGAACCCCTACAAAGTAATAAAATGTTTTTTTAAATTCAGAACAATGGACAAAATAGATGAGCAGGAATTTTCAGGAGAAAACAATGGAAGACGTGAATAAACATTAAAAGTTGTTATTCTTTTTAAAAAAATATATTTTATTGATTTTTACAGAGAGGAAGAGAGAGGGATAGAGAGTTAGAAACATCGATGAGAGAGAATCATCGATCAGCTGCCTCTTGCATACCCCGTACTGGGGATGTGCCCGCAACCAAGGTACATGCCCTTGACCGGAATCGAACCCGGGACCTTTCAGTCCACAGACCGACGCTCTACCACTGAGCCAAACTGGTTTCAGCCGAAAGTTTGAAGCAGGAGGGTGACACATTCTCTTCCCTTCGTTCTTCTGGGAGTGGTGCGTGGAGGTGGGGGGGCAGGGGATGGAACCCTGGCCCGTTCCCCCCCAGGACAGGGGTCACCACTTTCTGGAAAGTAGTCTGGAAAAACAACAGCATTAAAGCGACTCATGCCTTTGGGCCCGGCCCCCCGCTGTGAGAGCGCCACCCTACAAAAGTTGGAACCTCCTGTTGGTAAATCCCCTTGGAAGGCAAAACCCAGACACCGCTGACTGCATGAGCCGCAGGCAGCGGCCGGTTCAGGATCCAAACCTGGGGGGCGGGGAGGGGCGGAGCCGTGTGCCGGGAGCGCGATTCCTTCACCGAAAAGCGGGGGCGCCACACTCGTGGAGTGACAGGTGTGTGTCTGAGGGCAGGCGCCTCCATGTCAACTGTGACCCCAGGAGAGGGGACGGGGTGGGCTTAACCCCTGCAGTTACTCATCGAAACTGCCAGGACCCTTCTCCGCCACTGCCCCCCTCTTAGTCCCCATCCCCCCTCTCCCACCCCGCCCGGTGGCAGAGGCCCCAAGGGCACACTGGGCTGGGACCAATGTCTGGGTGGATATGAGGAGCTGCAGGCTGGTGGGCAGGGCAGGTTCCTTCTTCCAGGCTTCAGTTTCCCTTTTTGCAGGCTCCGAGTCTAGCTCTCTCTGAGCCTATAACCGGGCAGCGGTGCCGCCCGCAGAGGCTGGGGGACAGGAGCCCGGGGAGTGCCCGGCCGGGACGTGCGGGCAGCCTCTCCCGCCCTGCGAGCCGCCTGGCACAGGCCGCCTGCCCGCCCGCGCTGACGTGTGTCTCCCGCAGGTGGCAGGGGTACGAAGGCTTCGTGGCTGTGCACAGCCTCCCCACCTTCGGCTGCCGGGACTGGGAGACCTTCCGCACCACGGCCGGCTCCTACCTCGTCTACTCCAGCGGCAAGGAGCCCCTCTCCCGGGTGCTGAAGCTCAGGACAGGGTGACGGGCATGGCCCCCGGGCACAGGACCCACCTCCCGGCACCCGGGGACCCCACTGAGGAGCCCTGGGACCTCTGGGGGGGATGCACCTCGCTTCCAGAGCCGCTGCCTCGCGGGCCTGGCCCTCCTGGACAGGAGACGTCTGTGCCCTCTCCGGCCGCGGACAGAATCGTGGACGGCTCCTGGGCGTTCTCCGGACACCAGGCTGCCCTGCGCCCCGGGGTGCCTGCAGGGAAGTCACTTTGCAGGAAAGCTCGTACAGCCGTTTACCTCACATGCAGAGGCCCGGTCACTTCCCCGGGGCGTCATCTCGGGGCCTGGCCCTGCTGGCCTGGCCGTCGAGCCCGGGAGACAGGGAACAGGCGGGATGCCGCCCTCCACGTTCCTACAGCTATTTATTGTACGTTGTCCACGCTGAAATATATTTATGACTCTCTGCACAGAGCAGCCGCCTCTGCGTGTGTCTGGGGGGCCTGGGCTCGCCGTGAACACAGCCTGGGCCTCGCGCTGCCTCCACAGCGGACGCGCCCTCGGGTGCCCGGTCACCAGCGTGGCCGGAGGGCACCTCACCTACACAGACCGCTTCCTCAGGCCTCCGTCCACCCTCACGGCGGCTGTGCGTGCAGGATGGCCTGGGCTGCCTCCTCGGGGCCAGTGTTCCCCCAGCTCCACCTGAACACCTGGACCCTCCACCGGGGGGGGCGGGGGGCTGCCTCCCTGGGTGCTGCTGGGGTGACATACACCCTGGGAGCCTGGAGGGGGCGGAGGGGCCTCGGGGTGGATTGGGGTGCTCCGTGCCAGAGCTTTGCTGGAGAGGCCCCCACGGTCCATGTGGAGCCAGGAGACCCCCGGGGGCGCAAGGCCAGGCCTGTCCCGCTGTCCGTGCCGCCTGCCCAGGGAGGTGACTCCGCAGGGGGGATGTGGGAGCCGGAGCTGAGCCGCAGGAAGGCCCCACGCTCTGCTGTTTCCTCCTTAAAACTCTCAGTGATTTTTGCCCAAGATCACACAGCCGGGGCACAGCGGCGGCTCTGGCCCTGGAACCCTGGCTCGCCGTGGCCAGTTCCCCAGGAGGACAGGGCGGGTGCCCCACCGGCCAGGGAGGAGGCCCGCCTGAGCCTGCTCCTCCTCCGTCCATCAGACCTGGGGTTTCCAGACCCTGAGCAGGGCCCTTGTGATTTCTACAGGCTGAGCCTCCTTCACGCCTTGGGGAGGGTGGGGCTGGCCCCAGACAAGGATGTCCCCTCCCCAAGGAGAACAGCAAAGGGCAGGGGTGGGGGGCGGGGAGAGGTCTGGGCCAGGCCAGCGGACCTGTGAGAGAGAGGTCTCAAGCTCCTGCACCCTTGGGTATCCCACTCCCACCTCCAACACACTCATTATTCATTATTTTGGAGAAAGAACATATGCCCTTCACACCAAATCAGGCCTCACAGCAGCCGCCCCCGTGTCCCTGTTGGACCCCACATCTCTGCTGTCACTGTCCCTTCGGCCTGGCAGTATCCCTGCCCTGGGCAGCCAGGGGCCCAGGGTGTTTAGTCCCTCCCACCTCTCACTTCCCAATCCCCGAGCCTCAGTTTACCCCTGTGGGAGGGGCAAATTGGGCACTGCCCATGACCTCCAAGCACCCCCCCTTCACAGCTTCTCTCTCCCTGGGGTAACCCAGCCACCCAGTTTTCTCTCTGCCCTGAGGGTGCCACTGCAGGGTCTGGCTCACCACGGGGCCAGGGTGGGGGGTGGGAGGACTGGCACCCAGAGAGGAGGGAGGCAGACACACGGGGAGCCCCCACGTCCCTGCCGAGGACTCCTCAGCGCCACCTCACCTCGGCACAATCTTCAATCTCTCCCACTGGCTGGAAACAAAACCCACAAATCAGGTCTTGTTTAAATTGTGAATGCAAACAGGAGAAGGGGCATGCAGGGAACATTGAAATATTTACATCTTTTCAAGTCAGGCGTGCTGGGTTTTGTCCGGCGGATACATGGTTCGCGGGGCAGCCTGCAGTTGCATGTGAATTTGCGTGTGGTTTGACGTACTACGTGCTTGTCTTTCTGACACGCGTGTTGTGTTTCCTGCACCATCGCCCCCACTCCGCTGAGTTGGGCACCTGTGTAAACCCACGGGGGTCCTTCTCAACAGTCTTCCCTGTGATAAAGAACAAGCCCTTTAATAACATCTCAGCACAAATTGCATTTTTATTTGGAGTTGCTTCTTCAAGGCCGTGATTTCTGGAGGAATATTTTCCACAGCAATTTTTGCATCTGCTCCTGACTTCCAGGGCTCCTCCTGAACCCCGGACAAGGCCCAGGACGGCCAGATGTGCAAAGTGGCCCCTGCTCCGCTGGTCCTGCCAGGACCGGGCGTTTCTGTCTCACCGTCTGCCAGGCTGGGAAGCGGAGGGCTGCTGACAAGCTTGTCTTGTTTCCCCGTGGCCATCACGCCTGGTGTCAGGGCTGCTGGACTTTTCCTGTAGCGCCCGTTAACTTTGCCAACACCCATCCCCTGCCCTCCACCACACACACACACACACACACACACACACACACACACATGCACGCACATCCCACCTATGCACACATATCCCACGCATGCACACACATACAATGCCAGTCAAAATCTCAAAACTTGCCAAAGCCGGTTTGGCTCAGTGGATAGAGCGTCGGCCTGTGGACTGAAAAGTCCCAGGTTCGATTCCGGTCAAGGGCATGTACCTTGTTTGCTGGCACATCCCTGGCAGGGGGTGTGCAAGAGGCAGCTGGTCAATGTTTCTTTCTCATGGACGTTTCTATCTGTCTATCTCTCTCCCTTTCTCTCTGTTAAAAATCAATAAAAAAAATATATATTTTAAAAATCCCAAAGCTTGCCCTTTTTTTCTTTTATTAGAGAGGATTTATTTGATACTATAAGTAGTTGGATGCTGAACATCCTGTAGTAAATCTTTTTTTTCTCTTTTTTCCCCATTTTTTTTATTAAGGTATTACATGTGTACATATCTTCCCCTTGCCCCGCTCCCATACATATGCCCTCACCCCCCAGTGTCTTATGTCCATTGGTTATGCTTATATGCATTCATACAAGTACTTTGGTTGTTCTCAGCTTGCCCTTTTTAAAAAATGTGTGTGTTTTTTTATTTATTTCAGAGAGGAAGGGTGAGGGAGAGAGAGAGAGATAGAAACATGCATGGTGAGAGGGAATCATTGATCAGTTGCCTCCTGCATGCCCCCTACTGGGGACTGAGCCTGCAACCCAGGCATATGCCCTTGCCAGGAAACAAACCCTTCAGTCTACAGACCTATGCTCTATCCACTGAGCCAAACCAGCAGGACCCAAAGCTTGCCTTGTTAATTAAAGAAGAGATCTATGGAGCATTTCAAAGAATTAACAGGCAGAATAAAATAAAATTTTAAAACTTTGAAAAAAAATGGGGGAAAGCTTGGCCTCCAGGTATTAAACTATATTAAAATTAAACAAGTCAACCTGGTTGTTGGCATGACCTGGTAAAGTTTAAGTTACAGATACTGGAAAGCAAAAGGCTCTAGAATGGATTTCCCCCCTATCTGGAGGAAATGTTTCACCTTACTACAGGTAAGACAATGGAGGAAAGTGGAAGGGAAGATGGAAATGACGGAGAGATGATTGCACATCTGTTGAGCACATACGTCAAAACGTAAGCAAGTGGAGGAGAGGCGCCAGCACAGATGGGTGATGCTATCGGCACGCCGGGGCTTGGTTCATTCCGTCAGTCCTCGGTCTGAGCAGCTCTAACAAACCCGGGAACCAAGAGCAGAGGCCATGAGCAAACCTTCCCAACAGAGGACATCCCAGCGATGAAAACAGACTCAAGTTCTGACGTCAAGGCCCCTGAGTGTCACAAAAGTAGGCACCTTGGGCCGGCAGCCGCGGTGACCAGGACCTGCCTGGGTCCAGCCCGGGGGCTGCTCCGCCGGTTAAAATGGAGCCAGGCGCTTTCTCTTGGTTTGCGACAAGAATGCCTCAGGGAAAACCGCAATCTTGTGGCCTCATTGTTGTGATGTCCAGACCAATGCACTGGTTTCTGAAGACGACGTCGCAGCTCAGGGCAAGGACGGGAGGCTTGGTGACCACTCTGAACCCTTGGTCCAGTGACTTCCGCAGGGACTATGAAGGGACCACAAAGTACCGGGGCGGGGGGGGGGCGCGCGGGGTCCCGCTGACCCCCCGCAGGGCGACCCGCTGGTCAACACCACTAATTCCGAGAAATCCCTCAGAGAGACGGCAGGACCCAGCCCTGGCGCCCAAAAGTGGGCGCAGAGAGGGTGGTAGCTGAGCCAGAGACAGCGCAGGTGCCGAGGGCTCTTGGGAGCAGGACAGCAGGTGCCAGTCCAAGGAGGGCACCTCCAGCCCACCCGGTGGATGGGGAGGGTGCCCTAGGGGGCCAGGCAGGGCAGCCCCTAAGAACTGTGCTGGAGGGCCTGGCCTGGCTGCCCATCTGCACGCGGCCCCCTCGCGGAAGTCCAGTGCAGAGGCGACCGCTGCTCAGAGCCACCGCCCGGCCCTTGTCACTGACCTTCGGAGGTCTGAGTGTGTGCGGTGGGCAGGGGTGGAGGGAGGAGGGCGGCAGGGCTGAGCAAGCGTTCTCATTGGTTCCCCTACCCTGGGCTGGCTGGGAGGCGGGAGTGGGTGTGACTTCATATGACAAGAGACTTCAGTGGCTGATGACTGTCTCCTGACAGGCCTGGGGGTTCGCCTGCCACAGTACAAACGGGGTGAAGAGTCACCACATCCGTCAATAAAATCACTGCGCTGGTCTCCCTTCGGGGTTCTCTCTACATCTCAGTGGCTCCGCCTTCCAGCCTGGCTGCTGGCGTCTGTCTGCTGTCCACGGCTGCTCGGTACACCCCAGCTCAGCATTCACCAGCTTCTGGGGACCTTGGACAAGTCATCTCACCTGCCGGTGCCTCAGTTTCCCCAGTCGTCAGAGCCAGTCGTTAGCATGGCCTCCGGAGCCATCTTTCCAGTGGTTCCTGGTTTCTCCTCCGCTGCCTCTGTGGGCCCGGGCCCCCCCCCCCCGCCCCCGCCTCCCCAAGAGCAGCTGAGCTGGCAGGAAGGTCAGCCCAGCGCCTGTCACTGGGGATGCTCTCTCCACCTCCCTTTGCACAGAAAGCAGGCCAGCATTGTCAGCTGTGCTTGGGAGCGGGACCTGAGAGCCAGCCCAGGTCCACTCCCTTTCCTGCCAGTGCTGTTGCCATGGTTACAGATGCAGCAACCCCGGGGGCTCCGATGCAGCATCCCAGACTGGACTGCGAATCCGGCGGCCCTGCCTCCCGCGCTGGCCCCTCCCCTGTCTGAGGCTGAGCCGAGGTCTCGCCTCCTTGTGCCGATGATGCTCCAAGGCTCGTGTCTCCTGAGTGAGAACTTCCAGGCCCAGACGTCAGAGCACGGATTCCAGGCCGGCTCTGCCCCAAACAAACCGCCTCCTGACGCGTCATTCCCCCTCCGGGCCTCACCACCTCGGACTGAACCTGGAAATGTCCTCTACCGGGCCAGGCCTCTGAGAGCGTTAGCCCAGCCCTGGATGTGCTGTCCGGGGACTTCACGGCTGCTGCCCCTTCCCAGGGGCCGGCAGGCCCGGGGCCACCCCGAGGTCTGAGAGCGGCTACGGACCTCCCTGCTATGTCCCACAGGGTGTGCGCCTGGCCTCACCCCGGGACCCAGCCCCTCATGCCGTGGGCTCGCAGGCCTGGCCCCGCTGCCCTGCCAGCTCTGCGGGGAAGGCAGGTCTGCAGGAGAGGTCTGGGTGGGGACATGGGGGCCACGGAGGGGCAGACAACGGAATCCACTCCAGCCGATTTAAGCACAAGGAGGTTTATTGGGGAGGACGGTGGGATCAGACTTCAGACGGAACTTCCAGTGGGAGGACTCCCGGCCCCACTCCAGCTGCTGCCATGGCCGGGAACTGCCTCAGGTCCAGAACATCCCACCTCCCACGGCCTGTGCCAGCAGCCCCGCCTCCCCCAGGTCACTCAGTCCAGGATCAAAGTTCCTGCAGACGCTTCTGTGATCAGGAGAGCCGGTCAGCAGGCAGGGCCGGCGCCCAGTGCCCATGCGGGTGCCCAGGAGTGTCCAGCCTCTGCTCACTACACCCCTCTGCCCCATGAGGAACCCCAAAGTTGTATGGCCTGGACCCCCAGGCCCTATGAAGGGCCTATTACCTAGATGGCAAAGAGAGCCGGGAGCCAATCTGACCCCACTGCCCTCTGACTGAAATAGGCCGGCAAAGGCCCCCCTCTGGCCATGTCACTACCATTGTCAACACCGGTCCCCTGGACGGGGCCAGCCTGACCCCGGCCTCTACAGATGTATGATGGGGTCAAACACTGGACCCAATGGGGTGAGGTGGAGTGAGGAAGGCTGCATCAGTCCAAGGGCCCAGGGGTCACCCAGGGGCCCATACCCAATATGGCAGCAAAGAGTGTGGGGGTGCAGGCAGGGCATCATCCTAGGGGGTTCCTGGCGGGAGAGAAAGGAGGAGAAAAGAGAAGAGGAGGAGAAAAGAGAAGAGGGGAGGGCTGTGCCCTGAAACAGCTTGCAGGCACCCGTTCTGGGGCTCCGTGAGCAGGAAGGAGCTGGGTCTTGGAGTTGAGGTCCTGGGGGTCTTCCTGGAGGAGGTGTCCTCCCCTGAAGACTCTACGAGGGGCGAGGAGCCCCAAAAGGCTGGAGGTGGGCAGCCCCTGACGGCTCTCGAACCCCTTGAGTGCTCTAGGTCCTCGTCCACCTCCCCGCCCTCGCAGGGTCCATCCAAGGGGAGGTGGCCTCGGCCTGGGGGCCAGCAAAGGGTGGAGGAGGAAAGCACACCTACTTCCCATGCACCCCGGAAGAGCCACGTGTGGTGGCATCCAGGGGTGGCTGATTTGGGGGGTAAGAGAACATGGGGTCCCTGGCAGCAAGGAAGGGCCCCCAAAGTGCTGAGGCTAGTGGCACCCATAGGACATGAGAGGCCTTGGCAGGACCCTGACACTCCCCTCTGCCCTGGGGTCCGAGGCGCTCTCTTCCCCTGACCCAGGGGTCACAGTCATCAGGGAGGCCCTCAGGAGGTGAGCTCCTTGTGAGGTGGGGCCCTGTCCCCACCAGGGCACATGGGATGGGTGGGAAAGGGGACCCAGATCGCCCAATGAGGCGATGTCCTGCTGGTCCTTTGTCACACGCGTGGACAGACTTCCTGGTTTGAGTTGTCACCGGGAAGGTGGGCAGGACTGTGGGCTGGCGGCCTGTGGGGCAGCAGGTGGGCATTGATGGCCGAGTCAGCCCTTCCTCCCTCGCCCGCCTGGCCCCTTTCTTTACCCTGCACCCCCCACCCTGCTCCCACGAACACAGGCACAGCGCCTTAGGGTGCGGGAGGCTCTCTGGAACCTCTCGGAGGGCCCTCGGTAATGCACTGTGACCAAGAAGTCACAGCCGTGTTGGGACGAGCCTTTTGGGTCTCTGGTGCACGGCTGGGTCCCCGGATCAGCGGGTAAATTCGACCCCACATTCATTGCCCTCAGAACTTTCCAAGCACCCAGCACCTGCCATCGTTCATCGCTTCGAAGCTTCTGCTCGATGAGGCTTCTGTCCTCCATACCTTCAGTTCACAGCGATTTATCCCTTTTTGCTTACCGCCCCCCCCAAAAAAAATTGTTCAAAATAGTGTAAAATATAAACACTCATCAAAAGACAGTAACCTAAAAATGGGAAGATGAATCAGTCATACAGGTGAAGGTCACGTCTACCGGGGACGTGTAGCGGTATAAGAAAATCAAGCACTCACTGAGCTCTGAGAGTCCTGGCAGCAAAGGTGGAGAGAGAGGGGGGAGGAGAGAAAGAGAGGGAGGGAGGGAGAGGGAGAGAGGGAGAGAGGGAGAGAGGGAGAGAAGGAGAGAGGGGGGGGGGATTTGTTGGAGAAAAGGAGGTGTCCCGTTGGTTGGCCTTGAAGCATCACTCATTAGTCCTGTCCTCGGAAAGGAGCTGCTGTGGTGTCGGTGAGTAGAAAAGCAAGGCACGGCGGCGACCAGCGGTGACCGGCCTTCCCACCAGCCGGGCAGATGGCGGTGGGACTCGGGCGGGCCGAGCTTGTCTGTTCCTCTCGGTGGTGTTTTTGGTTTCAGGTTTGGGATTTTTTTCCCCCCTCTCACTGGACTGAAATTTGGGTCCAAGTGTTAACTCTCACAACCATTCTGAGAATAAGCACGGCTGTCCCCTCCCTTCCCTCTCTAGAAAGCCTGGCCTCTCTCCTGTTCGGCTCCGGGCAGACTCTGTGGTCCCGTGTGTTCAGGAGACACTAGGGGAGCAGAGGCGAGTCCGTCCCGCAGTGCAGGGTCACCTGTGCCTTCGACAGGTGACCCTGCACCCCAGACGTCACCGGGGCTATTCGTAGTCATGGACACAAGCCCTTCCTTCTCTGGCTGCGTTCACGCCCACGGGCGCCACACGGGAGAGGCTTGCGTGGAAGGGGCATCTTGGAGGCAGCCTGGTTTTGAGTCCCGACCGGATGGTTTCCTGACTGTGTCATCACAGGCAAGTCGGTCCGTCCTCTAAGTTTCTGTTTCCTCCTCCGTCAGCGGGTCCGAGGGGAGTGTTGCCTGGCTCGAGGGGCGTTGCGGTGACTCGGTGCAGCTGGAGGAAGTGTTCGGCCAGAGTGCACTGCACAGAAGCAGCTGTGACTACCACCTGGCCGGGGGAACGCCAGGAGCATGAGCCGGTCACCACCTGCCACAGGGTGATGGCACTCAGCGGGCACTAGGATGCGGGGCTGAGGGGGTCCTTGGACACGGGGGTGCTGGGCAGGGACTTGAGGTACTCCAGGTGCCTCCTGGCATCCTCCTGGTTCTGACGCACGTAGTACACGACGTAGGTGATCACCATGGCGAACCAGCCGAACATGGTGACCAGCATGGCCACGTCGGTGGTCTTGTGGTGGGTGCTGCAGAAGCTGACGCCGGAGTCCAGGGCCTGGATCAGCGGCTTCCCCACATACTCCTCCTGCACGGAGGTGTGGCAGGCGATCTCGTCCACCGAGTCGGGGTCCAGCTTCAGCTCCCACAGGGCCTCCTGCAGGTCACACTCGCAGTGCAGGGGGTTGTGGGACAGGCGGATCTTGGCGCTGAGCTTGCCCAGGGCGTCCTTGGGGATCCTGCGGATGCGGTTGTGAGACAGGTCCAGCAGCCGCAGGCCACCCGCCAGGCCCGAGAAGGCGGCGGGGCCGATGGTCTCGATGGCGTTCTGGGACAGGTCCAGCTCCCTCAGCTGGCTCAGGTGCTGGAAGGCTCCGTTGGGGACGCGGGCGATCTTGTTGGCGTCGAGCTTCAGGAACACGGCGTTGGCGGGGATGTCCTTGGGGATCTCCTGCAGGCCGCTCGCGCTACAGTGGACGGCCACGGCACCATCGCGATCGGGGCACTGGCAGCTCTGCGGGCAGGAGGTGCCCAGGCGGAGGCAGAAGAGGAGGAGGAGGCAAGACCCTCCCATGGGGGCTGGCGCGGACGAGAGGCTCTGCTTGCCCGCGGGGCCCATCCTGACCGCACCTGGGGGCAGACGGCTCGCTCCTCTGGCCGGGGCCTATGGGCCTACATCCTTCTCCACTTCCCCGGGCGCTGCTTCCGATACGGACATAAACTCCTGTCCTCACCTGCCAGGAATACGTGGTTTCTTCCGGTTCTAAAACAGAGGAGCAATCGGCATTGTCCACGGGGTTCAGCCGGCACCCAGGCACCCCTTGACTTGGAGAAGACACCACAGGCAAATGGAAGTCTTTGACCAGTGTGTGTGTGTGTGTGTGTGTGTGTGTGTGTGTGTGTGTAGGAAAGAGGATGTGTGGAGGGGAGGGGGGGTGTCTGTAACTTATTTCTGGGGACTCCCACTGCCTCCAAAAGAGCAAGAGCAGGCTCTACTGACCCCTGGTTGGGGGAAGGGGGGGAAGCACCCATCCGCACGGTGGGACAACCCTGCCACCTAAGCTGGACACACCCTCTAGACATCCAGGAACCAGGGGCCTGGACAGCACTGGGGGATGGCAGTCCGGGGCCCACCCCCTCCCTGCCCCTCAGGGTGGGAATGGGGAAGACTGAATGCAGAGCCGGAACCAACCTACAACCACCAGGAACCAGCGGCTCACCACTCCCGGCCAGGCTGCTGCAGAAGCTTAGCACTTTGCTAATTTTGACAACCCTTAAAAACCATCATAATACATAAAGCTCTCCTCTGCCCGCCCTAGCCGGAGCAGCCACCCGGCCCCGGCCCCTGCCCCGGGGTGGGCGCCTTTCATTTCTGTTATGCTTGGGAAGGAAGGAAAGGGAGAAAAGAGAGCAGCCAAGCCCTGGGCGCGCGCTGCGCTGGGGCGTGGAGTGGCGGGGCCGCGCGGGGCCTGGGCTGGAGGGGCCCGGACCCCGGGGACCCCGGGACCCCGACACCCACGGGATCCCCAGGGACCCTCGGGACCCCCCAGGACCCTGGGAACCAACCCGGGCGGGGAATAGACAGGGATGCGGTGTCCACACTCCCGGGAGGGGCGGGGGCTTTACCTGCGCGGCCGCGAACGGAGGCTGCTCCGCGCGAGGATCTCCGTGGCCCGAAGCCCGGCCCGGCGGCGCCACACCCTGGCGCGGCGGGGACCCCGAGGCCGGCACCGGGGCTGCCGGGGCTCAGCCTGCACTTCGCGGGCGGGGTCTGGGGGCGGGGCCTCGGCGAGGCGGGGCGGGGCGGGGCCAGGACGACGCGGGAGCCTGAGTGGAGGGCGGAGCCTGGGGGCGGGACTAACGGGACAGACGGGGCGGGGCCGTGGGCGTGGACTGTGGGAAAGCGTGGGGCGGGGCTGGGTGGCTCTTCTGAGTGGGCGTGTCTCTTGGCCTGTGGGGGGGTCTGTGGGCGGGGCCTAGGGGTGGGCGGGTCCATGAGCGCACAGAGCCCCGCCCCTCCCCGGTCCACCCAGCTGAGCGAGGTGGGGTTGGGGGCGCGGGAATCGCTCTTGGCGCTGATACCTGCAAGCAAGGTGCCTGCAGACCTCGGATCTGCGCGAAGCCCTTGGGGTGAGACCCGCTTGCGGTGCGTCCATCGGCCCCAGAAGCTGGGGCGTGGGGTGGGGGTCTCCACCCCCGTGAATCCCCTCCTGCCCAGGACTCTCACTGCACCCCCACCCTCTGTGTGTTAGGGACCGTGCAGTGGGCCTGGGAAAGGATAGGACATGGGTAAGCCGCGGCATTTAAAAGCAGCCGCATTTAAAAGCAGCTTTATTGTGGGGTGGTTGGTATACAACTCCCACACATCTAAATTTGGTAAGTTCTGACATTTGTATATACTCGTGAAACCATCACCGTAATGCACTCAGTCCATGCGCCAGTCCCACCCTTGGTACCCCCTCCCCTCCTGAGCCCGGTCCCAGGCCAGCACTGATGGGCCTGTGGCTGTAGATGAAGTTTGCATTTCTTAAAATTTAATGTACATGGAATCACAGGTTTGTGCTTTTGGGGTCTAGTTTTTTCCTTCAGTCGGCATGATTATGTGTTTATCAAGTTATTCCTTTTAGGGCTGACTAAGTCATTCATTCTATGAATGTTCCAGTTTGCGTGTCTGTTTGCCTGTTCCTGGACATTGGGGTTGTTTCCATTTGTTGTCTGTTACAAATAACGTGATACAAACATTGTGTCCAACCCATATTTGGAGAAATACTCATTTCTCTTGGGGAAATAGCTAGGAGCGGAATGGCTGGGTCACCTGTAGCTGTACGTTTAATTTGAAAGAAACAGACGGGGTGATTGTACTACTTTACATTCCTGCCCACAGTGTGTGCTCACACCCTCACCAGCACTTGACATGTCCACCTTCTTAATTTTAGACACTCTACTAGGCGTGTAGTGGAATCTCCTTGTGGTTTGAATTTATACTTCCCCTGTGACTAATCATGGTGAGCTTTTTTCATCTGTTTATTTGCCATCTACGTATCTTCTTTAGGGAAGTGCTCTGTTCAGATCTCTTACACACCTTTAAATGGGTTGTTTTCTTTGAGTTTTGCGAATTCTTTATATACACTGGCTACAAGTTCTTTATCAGATAAGTGATTTGTAAATATTTTCTGTGAGTCTATGGATTGTCTTCTCATTCTCTTAAAAGCTTTTCAAAGTGAAGGTTTTACTTTTTATGAAGTCCAGTTTAGCAATTTTTCTTATATGGATGGTGCTTTTTGTGTCATATGTAAGAAACCTTCGCCTAACTCAAAGTCACAAGGATTTTTATAGTGTAAGTTTTGCCTTCGTTTTTAATATCCAACTTGAATTAATTTTGATACATGATGTGAAATATGAGTCCAAGTTTACTTTTTGTGTGCATATGTATATTCAGTGTTCCAGATTGTTTGTTGAAAAATTATTTTTCTACTGAATTATTTTTGTACTTTTGTTGAAAATCAGTGATTCATATCTGTATGAGTCTATTTCTGTATGTTCCATGTTCATTTGGTCTATTTGCCTATTTTTATGCAAATGTTCCAATCTGTATTCATAGCTGGATCTTTATATAATAATAATTCTTGAAATCAGGAAGTATAAATTTTGCAACTTTGTTCGTTCTTAATATTTTTGGTCATCCAAGATGTATTTCTTCATCTCCCAGCTTCTACTAAAAAAGCCTAGTAGGATTTTGTTGGGGGTTGCATTGACTCTATAAGTCAATGTGAGAGAATTAACATCTTGACAATATTGAGTCTCCAATCCATGAACATGGTATATCCTTTCATTTATTTAGAGCTTCTTTTATTTCTTTCATCTGGGTTTTATAGTTTCTGGTTACAGATATTGCACATCTTTTGTCAGATTTATTTCTGATTATTTATTGTTAATGGCATTTTTTGTTTCCATTTCTGGTTTTTAATTACTAATGTATAGAAACAAAATGGATTTTGTACTCTAATCTTAACTTTGCTAAACTTGTTTATTAATTCTAGTAACTTTTAAATAAACACTTCAGGATTTTCTATATATGCAATCATCTTTTCTGTCAATAAAAAGATTATGACTTCTTTCTCTCCTGTTTGGATGTGTTTTAAATTCCTTTTCATGCCCAATTGCACTGGTTTGAGACTCTAGTTTAATTTTGACCAGAAGCAAGAGGAGATCCCCTTGTTGCTGATATCAGGGGAAGAGCATTCAGTCTTTCATCATTAAAAACAATGTTGGCTGCAAGTTTCTTGTAGTTATCTGTGTCCGTGTTAGGAAGTGTCCTACTATTGCTAGTTTGCTGAGAGTTTCTATCAGAAATGCTTGTTGGACTTTGTGAAATGTTTTCTGCATTTATTGAAAATCTTTTTTTATTCTGTTAATATTATGGATTATACTGATTGATTTTCAAGTGTTATGTCAACCTTGTGTTGTTGGGATAAATCACAAGAAATCTTTGCCTACCTCAAATTCACATGGTGTAGTATCATTCTATATGTTGTTAAACTATTTAGTAGAGATGGAATTTCTGAGGTTATTTTTTACTTGATTGAATGTTGATAGTTTGTATTTCTTAAGGAATTGTCCATTTATCTAAATTGTTGAATTTATCAGCATAAAGTTGTTCATAATAGTCTGTTATTAATCTTTCTATGTAAAGTGATGTTACCTTTCTCAGTCCTGATATTTGTCACTTATGTCTTCGCTCTTTTCTTTTACTTGTCAATCAAGAGAGAAATTTGTCAATTTTATGGATATTCCCAAAGAACCAGTTGTTTTATTGGTTGCTCTATTGTTTTCCCTTTTTTTTAATTGACTTACACTATGATCGGTATGCTTTCTTTTGCTTACATTTGGTTTAAATTTCTCTTCTTTTTCTGGGTCTTAAGGTGGAAGCTAGGTCACTGATTTGAGGCCTTCTTCTTTGGTACAGGCTATAAATTTCCCTCAAAGTCCTCGATGTACCCCTGAAATTTTGATATGTTGTATTTCCTTTTTTTAAAAATATGTTTTTATTGATTTCAGAGAGGAAGGGAGAGGGAGAGAGATTGAAACATCAATGATGAGAGAGAATCATTGATTGGCTGCCTCCTACACACTCCCCACTGGGGATCCAGCCCGAAACCTGAGCATGTGCCCTTGGCTGGAATTGAACGCAGGACCCTTCAGTCTGAAGGCCAACACTCTATTCACTGAGCCAAGCCAGCTAGGATGATATGTTGTATTTTCATATTTATTGGGTTAAAAATGTTTTCCAATTTGCCTTTTGATTTTTTTTCTTTTGTGATCCAGGGATTTAGAAGTGTGTTATTTTGTTTTCAGACATGTGGGTATTTTCCAGAGATTTTTCTGTTTTTTACTTATTAACTTAAACCTATTGCTGTCAGAAAACATACTCTGTGTGTTTTGGACCCTTTTACGTTTGTTGAGACTGGTTTTATGGTCCAGAATATGGCCTGTGTTAATCATTGTCCTGTGTTGCTTAAACGTGACTTCACTTAAATGTGACTTCTAGTGTTGCTCAGTGGGATGTTGATGAGGTCAAGTCTACTGATGGTATGATAGTCAACTGTTCTACATTATGACTGACTTTCTTCCCACTTGCTCCATTAATTAGAATGGGGTGTTGCAGTCTCTGACTTTGTAGATTTATCTGTTTCTCCTTGCATTTCTGTTTTTTTGTGTGTGTGTGGAGGGGGTTGTTTTGTTTTGTTTTGCTTTATTTATGCATTTTGAAAGCCTATATTCAGATCAAGTCCTCTTGATTAAATGGTCACCTTGTCATGGTAAAGTGGCCTTTCTTATCCCCAGATTCTTTGTCCTGAACTCCACTCTGACACTAACAGTCACCCCAGCTGTCTTTCCATTAGGTTCACATGGGCTGCCTTTTTCCATCCTGTGCTTTTAACCTGAGTGTCTTAAACGTAGTTTCTTTTGGGATTTCCATGACATTCAAGTGTTTTTTTAAAATGTGTTTGTTAACTACGAAGGTGAGAATAATAACCACCTTACTCTGTGACCAAGGTCAAATCACCAGGAATAAGACGGACAGCCGTCATGTAGCCTCTTGGTGCGATGGACTGAGACGGACTCCTCATCGCTTCGCTGGTGTTCTTGCCCCAGATGCACCATCTGCAATCTGAGCGCGCCCCAGACACACCCCAGACACACAGTCTGAGCGCGCCCCAGACACACCCCAGACACACAATCTGAGCGCACCCCAGACACACTCCAGACACACAATCTGAGCGCACCCCAGACACACTCCAGACACACAATCTGAGCGCACCCCAGACACACAATCTGAGCGCGCCCCAGACACACAATCTGAGCGCACCCCAGACACACTCCAGACACACAATCTGAGAGCACTCCAGACACACAGCGATCGAGGGACTGATCAGTTCGCATCAAAAATGAAGGAAGCAGTTGTAAAAGACAAGAAAGGCCTGAGTCACTGTTACGAATTGGAAAAGATGGAGGAGAAATAGCTAAATGTGGCTTGGGGCCCTCGAATAGACAAGTGTTCGTGGAAAAATGAGGGACACTGGCTAAGACTCCGGGTGTAGTGCTTCCCCGTTGACTGCTTCAAAGCTCATGTGAAGGATAATTGGGGCGGGTGGACTCCAGTCTGTCTGCCTCTCTCTCTGCCCCTTGGATCCTTGTCCTCTTTTCCTGACTTCCCCTGGATTGAGTGTTTTTAGTCCATTTTCTCTCCTTAGTCTCCTGTCTGTTACGGTC